CAACAATCGAGTTACTGACTGTGAAGGCAGGTTTCTATCTCAACCTCCCCATCGGCGGCGTCGTCGCCGTTCTCCTCGCCCTCATCCACATCCCCGACAGAATCTCCGCCCCTCTTCCACTTCTCGAAGTCCCCCGCCACCTCGACCTGCCCGGCTGCGTTCTCTTCATCCCATCAGCACTCATGCTCCTCCTCGCGTTGCAATTCGGTGGCAATGACTACGCGTGGAACTCCTCCGTCGTCATCGGCCTCTTCGTGGGCTCTGGTGTCATGGCCATCCTCTTCGTCTTATGGGAGCATCACGTCGGCGATGAAAAGGCGATGATACCGCTGGGAATGCTCAAGAAGCGCGTCGTCTGCACAAGTGCGCTGGTGGGCGGGATCAACATGAGTGTCACATTGGTGGGAAGCTACTATCTGCCGATGTACTTCCAGAGTGTCAAGGGTGAGACTCCGTTTAAGGGTGGTGTGGATTACCTGCCTACGATCTTGGCGCAGTTGATTTCTGCTGTAACATCCGGAGCTCTTGGTAAGTCTTCCGTGTCACTTCAGTGAGAAGAAGATGATGCTGACTCTAGTCACAGTTGGGCGGATGGGATACTACCTCCCATGGGTTTTCATCGGCGCTGGCTTCTCTGCAGTTGGAAGCGGGCTCATCTCAACTTGGGTGCCCACCACAGCAACTGGGACTTGGATCGGATACCAGATCATTCTCGGTATTGGCCGCGGTTCGAGCATGCAAATGGTAAGTATCACGATTGACTTCTTGAAAGATCTTCTGCTAATGGCAGTCTAGCACATCATCGCAATCCAAGCCAACCTGCCACCCTCGTTGCTGTCCGTCTCGATGGCGACGCTGGTCTTCGCTCAAACGCTCAGCGGCGCAGTCTTCCTCACTTTTGCTGAGCTCATCTTCACTGAAGGGTTGGGCAAGAACCTGGAAAAATACGCGCCGTCCGTCGACGCCAAGACAATTTTGGCTGCGGGAGGCACAGGATTCAGGGAAGTTGTCAGCCCTAGCGAGCTCCCCGGTGTGGTGATGGCGTATTCGAAAAGCATCAGCGAGGTGTTTTATCTGTGCGTTGCACTGTCAGGATGTGTATTCATCTTGGGATGGGGCATGGGCTGGGTTGATATTCGGAAGAAGAAGTCGGAGAAGAAAGGGGACGTGTGAGAGTGATTGAAGTGTTTGGCATCGCATTCTGATCGCGTCGGAAAAGGATATCACGACTTATTGCATGGGTGGCGTGGGAATGGGTTAGACCGCATGCATTAGACGCGGATAAAAGGCGAATGCGTCGCGCCACAGCATCTCCTATCTATTATTAATGTAATCATGACCACTCTAAAACTTTTGTTTTGAGTCCCCCAAGCATGCTTTAGGAGCTTTTTAATATTCCGTCTGGTTTTTCCGATGATGCCACTGCTGAACTCGGAGCTTCTTCTTCTCCGCGCCACTCTTGATCGTCTTCAACGCCGCAAAGGCCCTCTTCACCTCGACCGAGCTCTTGACCAACAAAAACAACGGGATGACGATCCAGAAGGCGTTCATCAGGATGTAGTAGCAGTAAAAGTAGTAGTCCTCAGGGCGGCAGTACACGAGCTTCTCGACAATCTTGTCGAAGGTGCAGGTGGCGTAGTAGAGCACATCGCCGTACAGCTGTCCGAGGCTGATGATCATCTGGAACGGGTGTCGGAGCGGGTGGTCGGTGGCGATGAAGTAGGCGCAGGCGAAGGACATGGGGCCCCAGAAGAGTGCGGTGATGGACTCCATACAGACCACGAAGGAGTCCTGGGTCAGGTAGCGCGAGTCGGACTTGGAGTACTCTTTCCAGAGCTCGCCGAAAATGTCGGTCATGCGGGGCATGTGGGATTGGTTGTAGGCGAAGTAGCCTGGCGGTCAAGTCAGTATTGCTACATCCAATGATGCGATGCCGGAGAGGTGGGCAAGAAACCTTCAAAGAAGAAGTGGATGAAGCCGCAGAGGACAAACCACAACGCCGTAGCAACTTCGCCATTGGAAAGACGTGGGTTATTCCGACGGATGATGTTGTACGTCGGAGCGAGGATGGCAATCGTGCCGGCGGCGAAGGTGCTGCAGAGAGCCAGGGCTCCGAGCTTGTTCTCGACGTAGCCCTTGAGGGGGGCATCCAGGGGGAAGTACGGGTGCAGGGGCATCGTAGCGTTGATGATGGCTTCGGCGGCCATATTGTCTCGTGTCGTGGTTGGTTTTCGGACTTTTGTTACTCGTAACGATGATGCAGCTGGAGTGTGACCGGTGGGATGGATGATGGATGTTGTCGAGATGTAGTCGGGTACAAATACCGTTGAGAAAATGAAGGAACACCACGACTGACACCTGGGCTGCATTTCGGAGCGCGGAAGGCGACCCACTTTGGCGCGTCCGGGAAGCTGCATTCCCGGATCGGCCCATCTTGCTCTTTCCCTCGAGCGCTTGCCAAGTGTTTGTTGAATGGACAATTTCATTGGCTGAGAAGCGGTGGCTCAACAAGCGAAATTGCATCGCTCGTCGTATTCGTGTCAGAAAATGCCTTGACCAGCTGAATCACCAAAGATCTTTTGGTCCCGGGGTGCGGAATTTGTTCAATCGGGGGCCCGAGAGCCCGCAATCCGGGGCTCACTACCGAAAGGCCGGATGCCGGAATGACGCGCTCCACGCAGAGGATTCCCCGTAGACTTCACTATGACGGGCGGCTCCGAACAACCGGCCGGGCGAGCAGAGTAGCATTTGAGAACGTTTACACTTGTAGTAAGAATCTTGTTACACAGCCAGAAGAGTCGTTGGCACCAATTTCGCGACAGGCTTCTTATCGCCGCTTTGTACGTCATCTTGTGGTCCCAAAAATTGCCTTTGTTGGTCGCTTAGCGAGGCATCAACATTTTATTTCTATCAGTCGGCTGTATATAGGTCACAGGTAAGGTAGGCTAAAAAGTCCGTACATTTCCGAATCACGTACTTTTCCAGAAATCATCAAGCAACATTCGTCATCTAACGAACGCATCACACAAGATGCAATCCGTGGAGGGGCTTATTCCTTTCCATCACGGGTCATTTCCCAGTGAAATTTACTCTCAAACTTCGTACAAGATCATTGGTGAGAGAAATAGCGACCACACTCCTCTCATTGTCCTCCATGGAGGGCCTGGTTACACTACCTGAAGCCAACATTCGAACTCTTTGCTCGCAGGACATCGACGCCCGTTATCTTCTACGACCAAATTGCCGAACTACCAGACCTTGGACGCTGAGTCCCCAGCGAAACTACCGGAGCGGAGCTCTCCTACCTATCCTCTTAACTGCCCTCTTAACTGCCCTGCCAACTGCCCTCCTAACTGCCCTCCTAACTGCCCTGGCTCCTATGGGCAGCTGCCGGCACCTGGTATGCACGGTAATGAGCCACACTTCGGAAGCGAACCAATCCGCGAAGGAGAAATTGTGGCTTAGCCAATCAGAGGGCTTAGATTCAGCTGCCCACGTACGGTTTTCGCGTCCAAGCTCTGCTGCGATTCACAATAGTAACTCCCTCGCTCCGGACGAAATCTAGTGGCCAAATTGGACCTTGAGAGAGGCTTCTCGCTGTATGGTCATAGTTGGGGAGCCATGCTAGCTTGACTCCGTGTTGTTGCTGGTACGTGATAGCCGTTCTGCAATGGACTTCTGGACGGACAATAGTCTTTCGCCGTGTCTTATTGTTTCTTCTCTCACGCCGGTCAAAGAAAAGTTAGAAGGGAAGAAAGATTCTGCCGCCTTACGGGATGAAGGGTAGCCCGAGATGTGAGCGTGGAATGAGTAGATCAGTAAATTTTCTCCCAAAGCACTTTGCTTCATGCCAGGATTGAAAAGTGCAGATACTCACGCCGTATTCACAATCTTGTACGCCAAATGTCGGCCGCTGATCAGGCTGCTGATCCTGCCTTATTGTTTGGATCAGGCTCGGGTCCTGTAAGCGGCACTTCGGGTGACAACTCACTCATACACCCACCTTCCAATTAATGCTGGCCGAACTAATGCATGCCCCGCAGCATAGAAGCCTTGGGTAAAATGAGCCCGCTTGCGATATCTTGGCGTTTTCAAATATTCAGGCTACGAAGTCTGTACTCATCTTCAAATGCTTTCGACACATCATCTGATAGGGAAATGTTTTTTTCTGAAAGCTCGGCTGACTAGAACTCGATTTGTCATCTTGCTGCTTCGCTCGTAGATTTAGTTGCCCCATTTGCTCCTCCTGACGGATTGCATCTTCCCTGGCTTGGGAGATGTGACCACGGCCTGATTTGCTGTGCCTCGCGGATGCTCCAGGCTGCGTCTGGGCTGAGACCAGGTAACATCATGAAGTCTCTATTCACTCCAATGATCTGTCGGTAACTTTCTGCTTACTGTTACACACAATTTCCCGAATTCCAAAAATATGATCCCGGTCGGTTGGATGCAGTTCAGTGGGCGGCGATACGGTTCTAAAAACGCCATTCTATCGCCAAGGATGACTTACCGAATTTATACTGCGGCCATTCCACCTCGTCAAACTCTTAGTTTTATTCTCATATCCGTCTCAATCGGCATTTTGCGTCGCGTGTGAGTAGACCTTTTCTACCGCGTCTTCCAGCCGCCCAGACGGCCGTCAGTTGTTGTTATTGTTGTTGTTGTTGTTGTTGTTCTATTTTTCGACGTCAGAGCTAGGCTCAGATCGCTCCCTGGGGCATACGTCGTGTAGGGCAAGGCCGTCAGTTGCACAACTCCACCGGGTGCTCAAAACGAGCCCAAAGAGATCGCGCCAAATGTACACGCCAGTTCACCAAGACTTAGGCGAATCTCCAGATGCACTTGAACTAGGGGGCCCAAGAACCAAGGCTATCGGTTTGAGATCTCTACCGAAGGACACGATTTCTAGCCATGAAGAAACACACAGACTGGGAAGTCGCAGATGGGCACGACGTTCCAAAGATTGGCCATGTCTGAATGCGCTGAGTTGGTTGGCGTTCATGATAGCCAATTCAATTAGAAGGTCGATCTTGCCACATGAGTTTTCAGCCCCATCTCAAGCTCACTCTGCTGCTAGGTCATGGATCAATAATCCCCCGACATTCATTCCTCAGACTCGGTGGCAAAAAGCTGCATTTGGCTTCTCCATCGCCGCGTTCCTGACCTTCATCGTCAACGTTGTCTTCGTTCTCTGGGCAACAGCGACTAGACGAGACACATTGGAGAACGGTATTGGCATCATTTCTGAGCAGGGCTGCGCATACACAAAGAAATTCAATACCGGCATTCATGTGGTCATCAATATTATGAGTACGATCCTTCTGGCTGGCAGCAACTATTGCATGCAATGCCTCATTGCCCCGACTCGTTCCGATATAGATAAAGCACACGCAAAGGAGAAGTGGCTGGATATCGGCGTCCCGAGTATGCGAAATCTGTGGAGTATCTCGAGAAAGAGGCGGCTACTATGGCTTTCATTATCCGCATCATCGTTCCCATTGCATTTACTGTATGTAATCCCACATCGCCCTCCTTAGATGTTGACTTTTGCTGACAAATCTATAGCTACAATTCCGTCATATTTACATCAACCTCAATGAATACCTACAACGTCTTTCTGTCTCCTTCGGAAGTAATCAAAAAAGACAATAGCACTTTCATCCCGGTCAATGCTACAAAAATTGCCAGTTTTCCTGACTACATCAACCGAACTGCAGATATAAACAAGATGTACAATGCCGTCAAGCAAGGTGCTCTGGATCCACTTAGCATTACCGATTGTCTTAACGCCTACGGAACGCCCTTCCAATCTTTGAGGGGAAACCTTCTTGTTGTCTTGCAAGGGGAATCATTGTCGGAATACGAAAATTCGTTCAACGAAGAAAAATTGCTTCCAGAACTTGGCCATAGCGGAGGAGTGCCTCAGCCGTATGCGTGGATGTGCGGTGGGGAAGAGAGCAACCAAACTATAACCTGCGACGACTGGCTTGTGTCGTTCAAAAATGGGTCCAGGCCCTGGGAGCCCTTTAACTCGACAATACAAGAATGTCATAGCCAGAAGACAGATGAGCACTGCAAGTTGCTCTTTAGCAATTCGCTTTGCTGGGTAGTAGCAGCGCTCAACTTGCTTAAGGGTACCCTAATGTGCCTCGTTGCTTTTGGGAAAGACGAAGCTCCTCTTTTAACGGTCGGAGACGCTGTGGCATCTTTTATCGAGGATGCGGACGAAGCTACTCGAAGCATGTGTCTCAAAACGAAGTCTGACTTTTACATTGGCGACTGGTCGAAGGCTCCGCGAATTTTCAATCAAAAACCACAACGCAAATTTGCCGCTGGTAGTTTTACCCAGTGGGTTGTTTGTACCTTTTTGTGCGTCTTCAATTTTCTAAGCAATTACAAACTATGAATCTCGATGTTAACAAAGCCTCTAGATGCGCTATACCTCTGGTGATATGTTCGGTCCTTCTGGGCATTGGCCTTTCCTCCATCGTCGGTGACATAAACATCACAACGTTTGGACTTGGGGCAATCAACAGCAAAACAGTCTTAACGACCCTTGTCACAGGCCAAGGTTCCGAATCGCTCACGTCGAACGCCATAGTGGCCAACACACCTCAGGCAATCATGTCATTCATCTATCTCAATTATAACGCTCTTTACACCAGCACATCCCTCGCGACTGAGTGGGATCGGCTTGGGAAAGACGAAAAAGGCCTGCGGGTATCGCCTCGACCAAAAGGTGCCCAGAGAAGTACCTACTTCCTCCAGTTGCCATACCGATACTCGCTTCCTCTCGTGATATTTTCCGGAGGGGTACACTGGCTGATTTCCCAGAGCATTTTTCTTGTTAATCTGGAGGTTTATGCCCCTTCCGAGGATAATGTCATGGATATCATCAAAGCAGCGGACACAAAGCTAAACAACGGTTCCGACAGGGCCAACTTTACTACGTGCGGATGGTCGCCAAATGGTGTGATTTGTGTCATTGCGGCAGGCCTGGTCATGATAGGGTTTCTTTATGCTTCAGGATTTCGAAGACTTCGAGATGGAAAGATTCCTGTAGCCAGCAGCTGCAGTGCGGCAATTGCTGCGGCTTGTCATACATCCAAATACGAGGTCAACGCAGGGGAGAAGCGACTCAAGTGGGGTGTCGTTGTGGAACCACGAGAGACACCAGGGCACTGCTCCTTCTCGAGCGAACCAGTCGGAGAACCTATGGATGGTCAATTGTATGCGTGATCAGACGATAAGGAAAGGCTATAGACATTTTGGGTACTCAACATCCGCCGATTTCTTTCAAGGGTGGCGAGAGTTTGAAAAGGTTACCAGAACAATGAATGAAAGACTACCTAGATTCGCCAAGGTAGGAGAAGGCGAACAGGTACAGCCTCAGTGGATCAAACGTCAGGGAACAGAGAAGATTTTGTACTTTCGTAGAGTTAATCTTTCCGTGCACTTCATAAATTGTCTTCTGCTCAGCATTTCATCTAACAAGCTTCCTACGTCCGTTTCCAAAAGTCAAGATCCGACTACCGCTTGAGTTTATACTTCATGAGTAACATGTCCTGTTTAAGCTGCTCGAGTTGTTAGACTCCATATTAGAGACGGATTTGCAAACATTTTGGAATGTCCTGCATGAACTTACCCGCTGCCTTTTGTAATACGAATTGCGCCGCTGCAGTAGCATTTTCCGCGTACGTCAGATGGTCTACAGTGATAAACCCTCCCTTACAGACCGCATCATCGTCGTGGCAAATGATCTGGGTCTTACCATCGGCGCCAGGAATGGGATTCGGGTATCCAGGGTCGCCAAAAGTCAACACCGAATTGATCTTAGCCATTGTCGCAGCCGGAAGCGATTGCGTCGTGCTGCGGACAACGAGGGCTCCTTGAGAGTAGCCAGATATGGCAATCTTGGAGTTAGGGCAGTTGGTGATGGCTTTGTTGATGAAGTTGGTCCTTAAAAGGCCGAGTTAAAACTCCGTTCTTAGATACCACTTTTAAAAGCTTACTCACATGCTGGGCACTCCTTCGGTTCCATTGTTATTGAACCCCTCAAAGGTTGCAGGATACGCAACACCTTGAATGTTGATAGACTTGCCAGCCGCTTGTTTCTTCAGAGCATCGAAGAAAGGCGGGCCAGTCACGAGACCGACGTTTCCAGGCTCGGTTGTTCCGCGGGCGAAAATGACAGTGATATCGGCACAGGTAGCATTCGGCGCCAAGCCGTTCTCGGTCGTGTCAATACCGACGGCGTCGGCAAGACTTTGCTGCAACGGAGTCAAAACTAGGCCAACCGCGTCCAGGGCAGCGGCTCCCGCTGGGAGGGTGCTGATGAGTCTGAGGAATTGGTTCAACGGGCCGGACGGAAACTTGGCCAAAGCATCAGGAATGTCTTGTCTCGGTTCGAGGTGGAAGTTGTCGGTGGGCGCTCTTCGAAGATCCGTTGAAAGGTCGGCGCTTTCAGAGGCAGGTAGTCCATGAACAAAACTTGCGGAGTGCAAGGCAATGGCGACGATCAAGGTCATCAGCCACCTAGTGGTAAAAGCTGCGAATGCTTGGGACATTTTGGTGATATTCTTAAGACGGTGAACTGAACGAGTGGCTTGCCGTTGGGAAATCTGCAAAGGGGACACGAAGAGGATATTTAATTGCGTTGCACATGAGGCCGTATAAGTAAACTGTACTGGATGGATTCTTTTCAGCTTTCCAAGCTAGGAAATTACTAGTTCAAGCCTACTGCTCCTGAATTCTTGGACGTTAGTCGAGGGCGTTGTCGCATTAGCCTTCGCCTTTGTTGCATTGGCGTCCGCCTTTGTCACAATCAGCCGTTGTCTTTGTCGCATTGGGAGCTGTGCGCTGTTATATCGTTGTGATATACACCCGTAGCTTGAGGCCATATAGTGGAATTCCGCATGAATTGCTTTTTCGGCCTTGGTGCGGTAGCATCGGCAAATTGGGCTGAACAGCTCGGGAAAATAACGGTTGCAATGGAACCTTCTGCGTTGCAGTCAACGGCCTGGACTGGGGCTTGGATGAACCCCTGGAGGATCATTGCACGACTCTGACGTAAAGGTATTCCGGGGGATAGTATCCTGCAAAGTTTCGCTACGGCGTAGGCGATCACGGCTTCACGGACCAGGCCGAGGCATGCTACCTGCCATGTACAGAGGTGCAATGAGGTAACTGCCGAACTGTTGATGTAGCATCAGAATACGCACTAACAACACCCGCGACGCTTCCTGAGTGACATCATATTGAAATGAGAGAACACCTCAGTCAATTGACATCGCTTTTCCGTTGGCAGGGCGAGGCGCGCGGCATTCGCATGCAGCGCGTGTAAAAGGTTGTTCCTTTCTGTCGCTCGTGACGATTCGGCACTTGGAATAACTCGGCTTTTATTAGGTAAACATTACTTTTGGTCTATTATTGATATCTATGTGCTCATGATCTCATAATTTCAACTCATTAATCTTAGTAGTAGGCGAACTTGAAAAGGGTCTCAAGCTGCTCAGATGTGTAGCCGGCGTAGAGCGCAAGCTGCAACATGATGCGAGACTTCTGGGGGTTCAGGTTCCAGCCGCCGTAGGTGTTGAGCGCATCGTCGTCCTCGACAAAGCCACCCATGGTTCTGCTGGAGACAACAATCTGGGTGTCGTGCTCCTCAGCAAGCTTCTTGAGTGTGTCGCGGCCAGGAGTGGTCCATCCACCAGCACCCATGCCGGCCAGAACAAGACCCTTGGCACCGGCCTCAACAGCAGCGGTCGCGAGAGCGGGCTGCAGGGCCTGGTGACCGAAGAGAATGTCGACCTCGGGGAGCTCGGTGGCTTCGGAGACGTTGAAGTAGACGCGGCCGTAGGGGAGGACGGCAGGGTAGTAGAAGATGGGCTTGATGTCGAGGAAGAAACCGAGGTAGCCCTGCTCAACGGCCTTGAATGTGTCGAGGGAGTTGGAGTGCGTCTTGGTGGTATAGAAGGCGCTGCCGATGCGGTCGTTGAGAACGATCATGGTGCCGCGGCCCTTGGCATCAGGGTTACCGGCGAGGGTGACGGCCTCGAGGAGGTTGATGGGGCCATCGGCGCTGATGGCGGTGGCAGGGCGCATGGCGCCGACGACGACAACGGGCTTCTCAGACTTGACGGTCAGATCAAGGAAGAAAGCGGACTCTTCCGTGGTGTCAGTGCCGTGGGTGACGACGGCGCCCTGGCAGTACGGGTCGTCGAGGGCCTCTTGGACAAGGCGGGTGAGGTTGAGGAGGATCTCGGGGGTGATGCTGCCGGAGTCGACGTTGGCAACCTGGACACCCTTGACGTTGGAAACGTTCCACAGCTCAGGGACGGCGTCGATAAGGATGTCGACACCAAGAGCACCGGCCTGGTAGCCGGTGGTCTGGGCATTGGATGATGCAGAGCCGGCAATGGTACCGCCCGTGGCGAAGATGGTGATGTTGGGCAGGCTGGCGTTGAAGTGAGTCTCGCGGGTTGAAAGACGGTGGGCCGGGAAGCCGGGCATGGAGGCCGGGGCGGCAAGGCCGAGAGCCAGCTGCGACGCGGCGAGGAACAAGTTGCGGGTCTGCATCTTGACTGATTGGTGCGCTGATGTTTCTGGGGAAGAAAGGGCTTGTCTTGAGGCAGCTTCGGCTTGCAGGAGATTGAAAAGTCTGCGCTGATCTGAAAAAAACCGAAAGGGTTTCTCACGGATCATACGGGTTCTCTTATACTGTTGACATCAAGACGGACTTGTCCCGGTTGTCGTCAGTGAAGCCATGGTGATAAGACTGGATAAGACACAACATGTCCGATTTTGGAACCAATATCCGACCAAATTCGAAAATGCCTCGTTCACGCCTGATGATCTCAAGCTAGAATCCATGGAATCCGCGTAGTTCATCGTAACTTCGGACCAACATCCTGACATATCGACCTTATCTCGACGGAGGTGCCCAATCGCACGTGGTTGGGGTCCGAAGGTGATTGAGCTAGGCGAACGCTGGACCCGTGCGGTCGGGATTTGCTTATCAGTCGGCAAAAATATGAGCTTGAATGCCATCGGCAAGGACTGACCGACTTCGCATACCGACCAACCTCTGGGTCGGCCCTTGTCTGTTAGTGCTCTCTTGGTCTTATCTGCGACTCATCTTGATAGCTAGGACACGGCAATTGAGCGATTACGGAATGGTAATGAAGAAATCCCGGGGAATTGGCTGGCTCTTGCTGCAACTTATTGAGAGTCTTGCAGGTCCAGTCCGTCGCATTCTGTGGGGTTGACATGTTTCTGCGGGGCACTGGATCAAAAGGCGCAAGAATGACTCGTCGGCCGGCGGGGGATCCTTGGCCTCGGGAGATAAGACGCGGGAAACATTCCCAACCCCCTGGAGAAGGTTCCGGTTCCGGCGATCCGTCACTGGTCCGCGATATGGGATCGATTTACTCACAGGATTAACATTTGTTGATAAACAGGATGCCGTTGTCGACGGATGTTTGCCTAGGCGACGATTACTCTGATGGGGACTTTCGGCCAACCGGATCTGGCATGCACAGCCATAGCAATACGATTCCTATGACAGCACAGCCCAAGTAATACTGATGATTAATACGAGAAGAGAAGGTCCAAGAAGATAATCAATTGCTAGCTTGTTTTCTAGCTTGCAAGAATCTGATGGATGATGTCAGTCAAAGGTGTCATCATCGTCCTTGCACTTTTGATCCCATAGATGTTTATGTGTACCACGTGAAGATAGAACGAAGGCATCCGATAACGTCATGTGTACCTCTTCCGAAGATAAGTACAAGCACGGGCTCATCATTCGGGTTGGCTGCTATGATTTATCGCATCGGTGTGGAGCTCACCTCTTGAGAACTAAGTAATCATCGTATTAATGCATTCAGGTTTCGGCCATTATGTGGAAGTCGACTAACCAACCAGGGGGGGATTTATTCGCTCCTTTTTTTCGAATCTTGGAACTAGAAAGGTGGACTTTGGCTTGCAGGTGAAGGCGATCAAATCTTCCTCTTGTATCATGACTGGAATCTTTCTGGATCGTCACTAGCCTCCATCCATGCTCAGATCCAATGTCTCATAATTTATGCTTGTTACTACGGAGCGTCTATGAGCCAATGACACGGTATGAATCGCATGTAACCGCATGATCCCCATGTGACGGCTGCAGTGTTTGCTGCGAACCCCAGATCTACGTTCATAGAGTTAGCGCGCCGATCCATTGACCCTGATCTAGCATCTAGTAGTGGATTCAGGGAGCAGCGTCCGTGGTGGTGCGCACTATGATTCGCTGCCTGGATCAAGTACATCATGCAGAAGATACGAAATGAAACGCCGAGTGCCATTGGTGAAGTGGGCGAGGCCTGTTATCTCATTATCGCCGGATAGTCAACGTGGCGTGGCAGCTGTATCTGGAAGCCTCTCGCGCCCAACGATCATATTGTGCTGAATTACTCTGCTTTCAATTAGATCTACTGCAATCTGATGTGTAGCGGCAACAGAAGAATTCTAGAAAGAAGTCCCTAAAATGAAGCTCAAAGTATGTGGTCTACTTTAGGCCGTCTTCTCGTTGGACCCACTCGACTCGATCTCAACAGTCGTGACATTCCTTCGGCGCAGGTTACCCGCCTCGTCATGCTCGGAATCCCATTGTGCAACTTCAGCCTTGGGAACTTTGACCAGGCGGTGGGTGTTGGCTCCGTCGTTATCGACTTCTACGATCTCAGTACGAATCTCGTATCCCATCCATTTGGGAAGCAGGTACATCCAGAAGACGTAGTAGAGACCGCAAACAATCATGCTAAGCGAAGGTCAGTACAATATTCTGGAGAGGTTGTGATTTGCGCTTGCGCTGAAAATACTCACATTCCAATGCCAACAACACAGTACGTCGCGTACCAGAAGCTGACGCTGCCAGCGTAAGGGCCACCCTTAGGCGGCCACCAAGGCATAGCAAGTACGAAGACTTGAATAGCCAGGAAGAAGAGAACGACGAAGTCCCAGGCCTGGAAGTCTGAGCGACCAATGCCAGAGCGTCTGCGTCTGCGTCGCAGAATGAAGACGCCGTATGTCATTGCGAAGTTGAACATCGCGCTCGGGTACGTCTGAAGGTCGACAACTGAGGAGGCTAGTTAGCGTACTGTGTTCAATTTTATCGCCAATGATTTCAAGGGCAAACATACCAAAAGAAAATGCATCGCCGGCTGGAGGAGCAACGATCATGATGAACGTCATGGCCCACTTCAAAAGATAAGGACCGAGCGGCGTTCCGAACGGCTTAGTGGAAACCCAGAACTCGGTGAACGGCAAGACACCCTGTCGGCCAATCTCACGAATCATTCGCGACGATCCGATCAGAACGGCCAGCAGATTGCCAAACGCACTCAGCAGCACGAGGAAGTTGAGGACGTTCGCAGCAGCTTTGCTTTCGCCGAAGAGCTTGGAGAAGAAAACGGCCGCAGCAATCTCGCTGGCTTCGGCAAACTCAGCCTTGGAAACTGTGGCGAAGTATGCAATGTTGCAAAGCATATACAGGATCGCGACAGTACCGAGTGAGATGATGCCGTTCTTCTTCAGGGTGGGAATGGGGTTCTTGATCTCATTGGTCATGTTGAAGGCGTTGTAGTATCCGGCATAACTGAAAATGATGGACACTAGTGCGTTGGAAAGATCGTTTCCGTTGTTCGTGGTGCCCTCAAAAGCATTTCGGAAGTTGGCCTTGGGGTCGGGGATGTGCTTGACGTTGCCGCCAAGGACTACGAGGCCTGCTATGCTAATGCTGTTTGAAATTCTGTTAGTCCCGCAATCGATACTAGGCCGTGATTGAAGGAGACTCACAAGACCAGAGTAAGGATTTTAAGAACACCAATGAAGTTGACAAGCCACAGAGAGTATCTGTTGTGCGCGAGGACGCAGATGACGGCAAGGGTATAAGCAGCGATGGCAACCCCCCGCATTTGCCACTCCGACGGGGTGATGTCGGCCATCCTCCACAAATATCTCGAGAGGACTACCAGGTTCATGAGTTTACTGACTGATTGACGGGGCATGTATGGCTGCGCTACGTGACTTCAAACTTACCGACGGCGTTGCTACTGCTAAAAGACAAGATGACCGATTGGACGGCGAAAGCGACGGGGAAGAAGTGCTTCGGGCGAGGGTACTGCTGTTCCAAGTAGACAACTTCGGATCCGCTGCGGTTGGGGAAGTAACTGGCAAGCTCCAGGTAGACGCTGAATCCAGCGGCCGCCATGAGGAATCCGATGACCCAATACAGAAGTGCGAGACCAACGGAGCCGGTGCGATTGAGGATGCTCGCCGCTGTAACAGATTCAGTCAGCACATGTCTCTGGGGCTCCCATATTTGTCTGAATGCTTTGCGTGGACTTACGAGTCGAGAAAACACCCGTTCCGATCATCATGTTGATATTCAGAAAGATGACAGCTGCCCATCCCACGTGGTATCCGAGGGGCGATTGGGACTCCACGGGCGCGCCGACGGCTTCTTGATAGGAAGGCTTGGAGCCATTACCACCCTTCTGACGAGTATATGCGAGGTTCCCATCGTGGATGATCGAAGGCTCAGAGTCGCTGGCCTCATGGTCCACCCGATACTCGGGCTCGGACTTCTCGCCGCCGCCGAACAGCTTTGAAAAGACCATGTTTGTCTGTCTGACTCTGTTGCAGTAGTGAAAGCACTGACAACCTTTGAAGACAGACTGCCTCAAGGTCTGAGCGAAGGTGTCAAGTAGACCTATCGAAAAAACGAAGATCGAAGAGGGTTGTGGGCATTATGGCCGATCCAGTGGCAGACGCGTCGAGACTTCATATATCCCGGTTGACGCCGCCCGCGGGAGTAACCCGACTCATGTCTGCAGGCGTCGATACGATGGGGTAAAATCACACAATGGCTTGTCTCTTGGCTTAATTCCTGATCCATGTTTTCGCTGGCTTGACGTTGCCTTCTTGGTCTCTTGGCGTCCAAACCCTCACCACCAACAAGCACGCGATCGGGGTCCTCGAATCCTGACCGGCACGGACTGGCCACATTCGCCCCATGCGCTGGGACTAGCCGGTCGTAACGTCTCATTCAGATCAGGTTCGACACTCAGCTACACGAAAGAGAAGAATCGGGCGCGTCCGCCCAGACGTCGAGAACGACCTCCAGGGACGGTGTTCCCACCGCGGCTGATCCCTAGTGTCTCCAAAGCTCTGCAGACTGGACAGCTTTGGCTGGGGTTATCCACCCCCACGCGGCGGAGTCCACTATTTGACGGGGAGCTGTTGGAGGTTTGCGATGGAGTAACACCGAAGGCAAATGACGACATTTGCTAGAAACAGATAAACCACCGTGAAAGGCGACATGGCTCGCTCAAATACATTGTGTTCCAACCGGATGAGAGATGACTGGACTTGAGCCAAACTCCAGACGCATTTTCGGATGTGAATTCTTCAGAATGAGACAGTTGCTGTTGGACAACAATCCATCGAGAGCTTCCAGTTGAAGATTAAGTGCTCCTTGACCTATGGCAGGTACTTTTCTGATGCGCGATCATTCGAGGAGATAGACGCGATTAGTCTGTCTTCTGCATTGATGCACGGTGAAAGTAATGTAGGCCAGTGATCACACGATTGGGAAGAGAAGGGTGCAGATAATCGTATGGAAATACATAAGCTTGGCTCAACAGCCAAATCAGGCCGAAGACTTTACGTCGATGACCAAAATCGTACCAAACTTTGGAAACCCGATGTGGTAGCTTGATGCATTTTGTCTAGCGCCAACAGTATTTTGTATTTAATCATGGTTAAGTGAGGTGTTTTCATGACCTCGAACGCGCGCGGGATTTGCGGGCCAAAACGGGTCGGTCTGGGCGCGGGCGGACACGCCGTCTTAAGTGCCCAAAGAAGTGCCGTTGATGACCCGAAAGTCAGTCTGATTCAGGACTGACAAACGCTTGTTACCTTCCTGAAAGGAGGCATGGCAGACATAAAATTCTCCCCCTGGCAGATTTGGGTTCATAACGACATTAGGCTACTCGATAACGCCATCGGTATCCGAGGACCAGCCACTGTTGCGTTGCATATTGTCGGCATTGAACAAAGTGGTTTGCTCCCGCACATGCGTCACCTTGAGATGGAAATTTTCATCAAGCGATAAGTTTAAACTTCAGCCAGAGATATGAGCGTCTCGGAATATCACATTGTTGATATTCGGATAGGTCCGCACTTTGGCTCCGATTGCGGGGCCGGAATAGCAAGGATAGCGGGAAGGGTGGGTCACAACCCGGGAGCAAACTCCCGGATTCCACCGGGCCTAAAAAGGTGGCGCTGTTTATCGCTGAACGAGATGTGGGATTTGACGTCCTAGCAACCTTTTACCCTGGAGATCACTTTCATTAAATAACGTCAAAAATGGTAACGACAACGATCCGAGATCTCGCTACTCAGCTTAGTCGTCTCTCCGGTCTGCCTTAGTGACCACCTAAAGGGCTATTGCCTACATCGCAACATTTTGCCATACAAAGCCACCCAAACAGGTTTGCGATGCGAATTTGAAGAAATTGTGGTGCAGTTTATCGGCCTCGAGGATCCAGCCAATGCTTGAAACTGACCTGTTGTCTTGAGCACAGCTGCAATATCCTGAACGACGGTGGCATGAAGTGATGTTTCCCCCCGGAACGCCTCGGGTGATGTGACCGGTTTGTTGCATGCATTAGGCAACAGAATGCTGAAAAAGAGCATTTATTCTAGCAACTCGCTCCGCCCTCTCCTCGGCTGAGTAGTGAACTGCCATATTCTAGTAACTTGAACAGGCCTCTTACGAAGAATGACGATCAGACTCTTGCCAACGTACAGTTCTGGGATGCTATTGGATGGAGCACTAACAGAACTGGTTTGACTGTGCTTTCCTACTATCAAGCCTGGTACTGGGTGGGCTATAAACTTGAACTTCATCAAAGTGGGTTCAAATCCGGCACCAGAATAACGGTCGACGGCCCCCCTCAGACAAGAACGTGGCCTAATCGACTACTATAAATGCAGTACTAGGTATACAGAGAGATACAATGGGTTAGCTACGTGTCGTGATTGATACAAGGTGCTTGACATTGAATATACAACAATATTGTTTGTTTTTATTAGAAGCCCGTATGCAATTTTGACGTGCTAGCAGTTCCGAATCATAGAATTAGTTACTTCATTTAGAAGTCAAAAAGACACGCTTCGTGCGCATACTAACAGCTTGAAAGAAAAGAAGACTTGAGGCAAAGTCGCTGGTTCAGTCCTTTTCCTCCAGATGGGTTTTAGACCTCTCGACTTTCCTTCCCGAATCGAAGACTTTCCGGATGACTCTCTCCAGTCTCCTCCACCTCTGCCCACCATCCGAGCTTTCGAAAGCGCACCCACCAGTCTCTCAGTGCATCCATGCCTTCTGCCTCGATAACATCATACTCATACGATAGCCAAATGTATCGGAGCCATCCTGCAAGACAAATATCTGCGAGACCCGGTCTGTCGATGCCAGGTGTCAGCCACCCGGTCTTCTCCAATGATTCCGAAGCCCATGCCTGCACCTTTAGCAGGCATTTGTGCATCTGAGCCTTGGCGTTGAGTGCTGCTTTGAGGCTTCTATCTGCTGCATCAAGCCCCATATACTTGCACGCGACAGGCGACGCGTGGCGCAAATAGTAGCTGAAATCGTCTTGCGCAGCGTTGATGCCAGCCATAATGTCGCCTAGTATGGCTCGGTCCACGATATCGCGGCTCTGAAGAGGAGGAAAGTCGGGATAGGCGTCTTCCAGGTATGCCGGGATTGAGGTACTCTCGTGTATCCATCGGGTGGTTCCCTTGTCTGCGTCAAAGATTCGCAAGCACGGGGTGCTTTTGTCAGCTGGCTTTGGGTCGTCGGCATCGGCAGGTTCGAGAAGGTTGGTCTCCGAGTTGTAGTTGATGATTTTGATCTTCAATGACATTGAGGTGCTCTGGCCTTTCATGATGCCATCAGGAGTGGCCAAGCCTTTGAGGAGCAGGTAGTACACAATTCGACGAGGGTAGAATCCCTTCGGCCAGAGAAACAGAGTGTGTTTCGCAAGATATGCCATTTCTCGAATAAATGAATGATTCTGGAGCAGTTTTAACAGTTATTTGATTGTTGAATTTCAGAATATCAACTTAAGACTGTGTCTACCTTGGTAGAGAGAGAAGTACTAGTAAAATAAGGTGTTAGGAGCCTTTCGATCATTGCAGCTTTATGTCTTTCTTCTCGGAGACATTTTCACTCAAATTAATTGGAATTTACTAATATGGAAGGTTGAAGTCACTTGGATTGACTGAATGCCGAAAAGTGAATCTGGCTTACATGATGTATTGAAGGACATGAGCCCCAACCAACGGTCTTGGCGCGGACTCACGCCGCATTTTCGGCGACTTTCTCGCCGACTTTTTTATCCCCCAAGAAGCCAAGGCCATTTTCTACCAAACTAGTCGGAGCATGACGTATAGGTTCGGAGGTGTTTGACGGGTCTACTATTGCGTTTTGGGCACTGAGCGATATGGTTTCGAGAGCACCAACGCCGTGATACGCTGAAGCAGAGCTCAACCGCCCGCCAGTGCCTAAGTTTAGATGACTTCCATTGACGGCGGCCTCTCGCCAGACCCAGTGCCGCGCCCTCAATACACAGTCGAGCGTACACAACATGTTTCTGCTAAAGGAGCAGATAGTTTCCTCCTTTCACTTTGGAAACGAACGCAGCCTGTCGCGCAGCACGCGGGAGACCATGGTCATCATAAAATCATTTCAGAATATACTAACGCTGTATCGAAACTTCTGTAGTCCTCATGATACCATGATCATTGAGCTTCTGATCCGAGACCAAAATAGACTCTTCGCTTCCTGATCGCCCCCCAAAGCTGCGCCCGTTCTGGTACACTGCCACCGCCGCCGGGTGATTTCCCCCTTTGATGGTTGTTCGGTACATCTCCGTGCTTGGGGAGAAAGGGCCGTCCTCGAGCTCAAAGTCAGGCGCTCCTTGGCTACCCTGCTCCCTGTATCCTTGCCTTCGAGCGTTCGATGTGCCATTACCAGTTCTGCCGGTACGCCCGGTCGGGTATCGGTTTTCGTAAAGATTGTTGCTGTTGTATCGTTGACTCGAGGAGATCTTGAGGGCCTTGCCCACGAGAGGCTTGAGTGCGGGTGCGCAGGCAGCGATGATACCGAGGTTAAGCTGGAGACTGTGGGAAGTTTAATCAGCAACTGCAAAAGCGTAGGATAAATCCAGCGGCACGTACAATCCCCAGAACTGGACACTCTGATAGAAGGTTCCGTCCTTGTTACCGGGCTGAGCAATCTGATAGACGGCCTTGATGATTCCCATGATGACGGCACTGAATCGGTTAGCTAGTTGCAGCATACCACAGACAAAAGGAATTCCTACAAATAGCCGAGACTCAAGACGATGATCAGATAGACTCGGGTGCGCAGCTTCATCTGCAATACCCAAATGATGGGGATCGGCAACGTTGCGAAGCAGACATCAGTGAAGATATTGAATGCTATAGCTGGTTAGATTGCAGCAAGTGCAGGCTGGATCAAGCTGCATACCTGTGTTGATGAGGGCAAAGTTGACAAACAACGTGATGCCATAAGTGGTGGGCTTGAGGCTCTTATCCCAGTAGCCGGCGAGTGGCTTGCAGTACAAGAAGAAGCTCAACCATGCCATGATCGTGTAGAGGACGACAAACACTGGAAAGTGATCAGCATGTGTTATGCCGGAAAAGGATAGGTAACTGGATACCAATGAGTGCCCACAGTGATCGCGAATACCAGGGGTTCTTGCTCAGTCGTAGCAGGGACAGCGCGATCGAAATTTTGAGGAAAGCCAGGGCGGCGATCGCAGAGATGATGGACTGAAAGAAGCCAACTTTGGAATATTCAACATAGTCGAGCTTGCTGATTGTGTCCCTATGTTTTCCAAGTCCATATTGAGCCTGGATGATGAAAATAACCATGCCTCCACCCAATGCGCAAAGCTGAAGGGGGTCAGCACCGACGCCAAGGCGCGAGATCTCCCGGGTATCCATACCGCAGCCATGATCATCATATAATCATCGAGCCCTATCGTCTTCACGATAGCCGCGCGGGTGTACGTTCGTAGACTGACAAAAATGAGCGCGATCAGATGGAAGGTTCCTGTCACGGCCAAGATCATCGCGGTGTTGCTCTCCGCGGCTCTTGCCGGGTCCACAGCCATGGTGGACGAAGTCGAAGACATGCTAAGCGACTGCGTCAAAGACGCGGCGCACGTTAGGATAAGGGAAAAGACGGTAACGGAAGCAAAAAAGAGCCACGAAGATCAGGAGTGGGCACTTTCAGGAGCGAGGGGATCTGTGCAATCTTTTAAGCATGAATGATTTCTGAGCTACTCGGCTCCGAACAGATTTCAGATTTCATCAAGGGAACGCAGGAACCACACCACTCTTACAGCATGCAGGGCACATGGGGCGGGAATAGGGACAGCACGAAACGGAATAATTAAGAAGTCGTCACTGGGTGACGGTCGCTTAGGGAGTCACTGGAGAGCTTCCTGTTCTAGCCCAGCGGAGCCGAGGGAACATTTCGTGCGACTTGCTGCTTCTAGACTGTGTTCCAAGGAGAGGCATGGAAGCAGATCCATCTTATCAGAATGGCAAAGATATTGGAATCTGGTCTGAAAATTCCTGGGCCGGAGTGTTCCTTGCATGGAGTGGAGTGTGTGATGATTGTGCTTGCTTTGCAGGATCGCCAATTAGATATGTGAGTGGTCGAAATGGAAAGGAGGCTCCATGGGGGGCAACAAGGGTGGTGTCTCCCACATCACGGCGCCGCCCTCTTGCAGTGCCGTCTGAACTACTGCCGCACGGCGCAGCATCTGTCAAGAAATAATGAGCTATCGAACCCGACTTCTTGGATCACCTGAGACATGGAAATGGTCTTCAGAAGTGAAGACAGAGGAATGTTCAATTTCCAACTGCGCTTTTGTTGGCGGCCGCACGCCCTGGAGATATCGATCCTTCGTGTGCCATTTCAGGACTGCACATCAGGCAACTTCGGACCAATGCCCTTGGCACTTAATTAAAAATGTGGACTTGCGTGGGTGTAGGAGGGCTCTTCAGCAGAATTTCTCCGCTAAAGACCACGGCGGTCCTACGATAAAAAGCAACAATCGCGACGGAATCGCCCGTCTCTCGAAGACCAACAGGCGTAGTGGCCTATCGGAAGCAATGTGCAACGAGAAGTGGATTGCCTGCCTCTCGGATGCTATGGGATGCATGCCAAGACCTGGCTAGCGGGACGGGTTGGAAGTCACAACAGACCAGAAAATGATCTGTCCTGGATCGGTTGCTACGGTTGATTATCCCCGAAGTTGAGTGCTGACTTGGTGGAGACGGGCCGTGGCCGATGAGTTGGACACTGTCTCAAATGTCGCGACTGAAGTCAAGGTTGGGATCATGGGATGAACACCTTTGTTGCTTTTGAGTTTGAGTGTTTGAGTTAAGCTCATGGGGCACGCGAGTCGGTGCGTTGCGGGAGGTCCCATAGACCGCAAAATGGTCGATAGCAGAACGTATATGACCGTATCTCAGAGCTGAGCCGGAAGCCGAGTGTTACTGTCGTTTTCGACTCGCCGTTCTTGCCGATGGCAAATACCGTTCTGATGATTCGCCTCGGCCTGTGGCAACGGCGGAGACGCATCTCCCCATCTCCCCTGCATCTCATCCACCCATCTTGACCGAAGAGGGTTACATCCAGCATCCCGGCTCCGTGGGCCCCGGATCAGGATCTGGGCTATCGAATTTTCTTCCATTGTCCGCCGCATAAAACCGTTCGATTGACAACCCTCACATCAATTTTTCGCCCCCCAACAGCGGCATCCCGCGCCAGGGGTGGCAGCCTTCCAGACATGCCATGCCGCCCAGTGCGGCTAGGACGTCCGCGGCGCGGATCCGGAGCCCTGCAGCGAAAGGCCGGAGGCGCTAGCCAACGGATTTTAATCTATTCTCAACGTCTGACAGGCATCCGTCTATATAGCTAGCGAGGTTCTGTGACTGCATGGCGGAACGCCTTCGTCTTGATCTCTGAACACAAGTTCCGGACCGTCAATCCCGCTCCCACTTCCCACGCAATTTTCTGCGCGTGTTCGTCTTTGCAGAGAATCAGTTGTCTTTGCCGTACGTAACACAGGACCACATCTCCTCCTTCTTCCTGATTCCCTTGTCCTGTTCGCACGCGGCCACCCTGCACTCCGTTCGTCTTCCCAAAACACGAATACCGTCAAGCAATGCGTTCCATCAACATCGTGGCTGCGGCCGTTGGGCTGCTGAGCGCACCGGCTCTTGCTTCTCCCATTGAGACGCGCGATGTGCTGTCTGACCTGCAGATCCGGGCGATGGACGCCCTTAAGGCTGCCAACCCGGGAATGATGAACAAGCGCAGCAGCTGCAACATTTTCAACGCGCGCTATCGCCGGGATTGGTTCGTACTACCCACACCGTTTCGTGCAGATCGCGCGTAGGTCCTCGATTGCTAATATGCGCGTGCAGGGAGGCATTCTCTGACAAGGAGAAGAAAGCATACATCAGTGCTGTCCAGTGCATGTTGACGTCGCCCTCGAAGTCAGACCCGGAGTTTGCCCCGGGCGCCCGGAACCGTTATGATGACTTCGTTGCTGTGCATATTAACCAGACTACCACCATCCATGGCACCGTAAGCAAGAAATTCGTCCTTCGATGCGACCGAGTCTAACACCACGATGTAGGGAAACTTCTTGACGTGGCATCGGTATTTCACATGGGCTTATGAGGAGGCTCTGAGAAACGAGTGTGGCTATCAGGGCTCCCAACCTGTAAGTGGACTATCTCGAAGATTGGACATCTTCGATTTCTCTCGTTCAAGCCTGAACCCTTCTAATCAACAAGAATAGTACTGGAACTGGCTCAAGTACCAAGATGATTTGACCAAGTCTCCAATCTTCGATGGTAGCGACACGAGTCTCAGTGGCGACGGTGCCTTCGTGCAGCATAATGGCAGTCTCAGCGGCGCCGGCGCCATCTGGTTGCCTTCCGGTAAGGGCGGTGGCTGCGTAGAGAGTGGTCCCTTCGTCAAGTAAGTATCTCTCTACTCCAATCGCGTAATGGAGACAAGCTAATATCTGCACAGCATGACAGTCAACCTTGGACCTGTGAACCCTGGTATGGATGGCATGGAGGCCAGTCCCGCAGGCAGACTCGGCCACAACCCTCGATGCCTCAAGCGTGACCTCAGCTCTTATACCATGACGAACTGGATGACGAACGAGAACATGGCCAACATCACTATCGGAGCTGCTTCCCGCAACATCGAGCTTTTCCAAAACGAACTCCAGGGAAGGTTTGCAGACGGCTTTCTCGGCATGCACGCCGCAGGCCACTTTTCCGTCAATGGCGAGGCGAGCGATCTGTACTCGTCACCCGTTGACCCTTCGTTCTTCCTTCACCATGCGATGGTCGACCGCGTGTACTGGCTGTGGCAAGCTCTGCACCTGTGGAACGCTTTTGAGGTTGCCGGCACGATTACGATCAACAACAGGCCTGCGAGTCGGAACACTACCGTGGAAGATGTTCTCTACCTTGGAGTCTTGGCAGAGAACCGCACGATCAGCGAGCTGATGAACACGATTGGCGGATCGCCACTTTGCTACGTCTACGCCTAAGCGCAAATCGGCCAGTGGATGACTGAGGCAAATCAGAAGTGAAGGAACCATAATTATCATCGTAATCACTATTGCCAAGACTGGACCTTAACGACTCGGAGAATGACGGTCAAGGTCTACGTGTACATATTTGAACTTCTTGTATCTACTTGAGCAGACGATAATGGCAAGGCCGAAGGAATGCGACTTCATGAAATTTCCAAATAATGATTCTATATGAAGTGTAAGTCTTAATCTAAGAACTGAATTGTCCGTTAAGTTGGCTCTAGTTGTGCCTAAGACTTCGCAAAAATCATCGCGACTTCTAAGACTCATACTTCCGTAGTAGAGGATCACTCAGGAGCCGTTCCATGGCCTCCCGTTGAATGCATATGCTGACATCGAAGTCACCAGTATCCGCAACATCCATGACTTGGACAAGACCATCGATCTTGGGCATGACTCCCTGGACATACCTGGCCACCTGCTGTGTTCCAAAGAAGTCAAGCTCATAGGCTTGTGTCCTCACCCAAGACGTAACAAGCGTATGGTGTTTGCCCAAGAAGGCTTGCCACAGTCTTTGTGGACTAACTTCATGAGCGGCATCATGGATATAAGCTGCGACCGCATCTGGGGTGAACATGTCCATCATTCCTCTAATCGCAGCCGCGACAAGCCCCAATTCCGTTGTAGACGCCTCAACTCCAGTCTTCTCGACATATCCGAGAAGGAGAGGAGACCCGACAAAAGTCTCGGGTAAGGGCGGGCTCACTCTTGGGCGAAGTCCCAGGGTGATGTCGAGATAAACGTTGCTCTGTGTATGCTGGAGATTTCTTGCACGGTTGATGAGAGTCCACACATGTGCCAATGCAGCATCAAGTCGAGATATGCAACAAGGCGTCATATCGGCAGGAAGACTTGCTTGCGCAGCTTCTTTCATCCTCGCTAGCTCGCTGGACGAGAAACGGATCTGGTAGTGATCAACTGGCGCAGCCATGTCCCATGTTGGCCATGGCGGAAAGGACGACGAGCTGAGTTGCGTGTTTCCCATCTCTTCAGCAGATGGCATTGTAGCCTGAGTAGCAGGCTTCGTACCAGAAGGGAAACTGGGTGCATCTTCCGCCCACCAGTCGAACCGGTGCATTGGTAGTGATCGAGCCTTTTGGATCTTGGCATTTTCGGGTGCTCCTCCATGGCTTAGTTGTGCAACTTGATCAAGCAGAGAAGGTTCAAAAACTGGCTTGACAATTTTTGAGCTCCCGGATATAGACTTCGGATGCAGCAAAGCCCTTGATCGCACAGCCCAGGAGTTCATGAAGGTCATTAGGCAAGCGGCATCTGCGAGTGGGTGTGCAATCATTGCGCTGATCCCTCTGCCTCCGCATCTGAATGCGGTGAGCTGAATAGCCATGCTGGGCAATCCTTCGATCGCATTGAGGGATGATAGCGCAATTTTGGTGTTCGGCAAGAAGTCGCTTTGCTGAAAGTCGCTCGCGTTCCACTCTTTCAGACTCGTTTCTCTTTCGTTTCTGCTCGGAACGACTTGTTCCAAGTTGGTATCGTACTCTGCAACTATGAGCTCAACCCCAGGGTCTTCTGGAGATCCATGAGATACGACTGGACGGCCAAGATGACGCTGAACTGCATCGTTCTTCACCATGTCCTGGGTCGCCCATTGGATTTGCCCTGCAAAATGAGGGAAATCGTCCAGAGTTTCGCTGAGGGCTGATCCAAGTATTTCGAATAGGCTCGGGTATGGCAATTCCACAATATCATTCTTATCGTAAAGCCATATCGCAGCGGTAGGCGTGAATCGTGCGACTGTCGCGTCGATGATTGAAAGCTTCGATACGGTGGGTTCCGGCGCAGGCGTCTTGGGAAATATCCTGCGAGTTGCTTGAAGCCGACAACGCCCAGCTGCACTTTGCGAATCTCGGGTCGTCATATTGGCTCGCTATGGATTCAACTGTCCTCTGAATAACCACTGAGATCGCAGGTGAAACAGAGCATGGTGCATCTTTTAAAAAGCTTCATCTCGCACAGACAGGTCATGGTAGCGGGGATGCCCCGGCGAGATCCAGGAGATCGCACCGAAGATGACTGGGTCCGGTATGAATCATTCTGCACCATCACCAGATCAGACATGGAACCCCTCAGTGATTGGACGCTTGGCCTGAAATGGCGCACGGGAGGGTCCGAACCCCTGTTGATCTCGACGGCGCAGCACCAGTTGTACATGGTTCGGCCGAAGCGAGTAAGGTGTAGCACATGTTATCATCGACACCTTCTTCTTTCAGTTGGCACGGGTTCGAGCTTTAGGCATCCAAGTGGGGGGAGAATACGATATGCATTGGAGACAAAATGTCCCAATTGGAAACAAGCTCTAGAAATAAATGAAGATGCCAAACAAAACGAAGCAACTGCCCAACTGATTTCCAGGATTTCTCAAACCACACGATGAACAACAACTGTGTCAGTGTTGTGCATCTTCGACGGAAATTTGCACCCAGACACACTACAGCTACTTCGCGGACATCGGTGGCCGTGAATACAACTTGGATCGTCGCAATCCAAGCCGGCCAGACAGGGAGAATGGCGAGCCACTGCACGAAGAGCCTGAAGATCTTTACCATCTAACTTTGGGCCATGCTTGTGCTGACACGACCCGAAGTTTCTCAAGAAGTGGCAATCCCCAAGAAGATGGAAATTGTTGCACATTTTCCGATTTTTCATCGAAATCACGTCCTGCGGCATACAACTCAGGGGAGAGTCAACACGCTCGCCCGCCTTGTTGCGAAGCACCACACTCATCGTTTGTGCTGGAGTCGTCGTGGACGACGAGTCAATCCGAGTGGTTGCCGAGGTCGATGGAGCGGAAGCTTTCGAAGCAGCGGCTGCATAGCCCGTGGACGGTGTCGTCGGAGGGGTGAGTTGAGACGATACCCGTCGTTTAACGCTTGGGAGCTTCTGCGCCCTGAATACGCTGGAAAGGGACAGGACTTGGACGCTGCCCCGAAGATCTGCCAGCTCCCTCTCGAACGGGGGTCCCTCTATCAGTAGGATTTTGCTTCGCTTCGGGCTGTCGGCAAGATGTCGCTCAAGTAAACGAGCGTACCCATTGTCGCCCGATCCGCCTAACAAGACTCGGCGACAATGAACGTCGTTGAGACCAAGCTCAAAGTTTTCTAAAGATGTCAGCGCGTTACATCATGCGGCTTTTTGGGGCTGCTCTTGAGGTACCTTTAACCTTCTCATCCGCGCATTCTTTGCCGTTACCAGCATCAACAAAATCACAGAGATATGATCCCCTATTGAAGCCCCTCACAAATTCGTTCAGGGTTTCCATATTTTTCAAAATCTGGGTATCATGGTAAACTTTGGCAAGACCCTTGAGGTTGGCGTATACTCGTATCATCACTTGAGAATGGTGTGGCATGTCAGGGTCCAACTCAGGCAACTGTTCCAAGATAGTTTGACGCAGCATTCCTGCTGCTTTCTTGCCACCCTCAAAGCCCTGAGTAACGAGTTGATCGGTGAACTAAAATTGTTCAGCTTAACTATGGGGTAAAAAGATGATGTGAAGGTAAAGCACTTACCGGCATACAATCGCCGTCGATGACCACAGAAGAAAAGGAGTATTTATCCTAGCATCGTCAATTGTGTAATTCAAACCGGCGACGAAAGCCATAGCATACCTTCTCAGACTCAAGCTGATTAATCTGCAGCTTCATTTCAGCACCACTCTGTTTCACAGACTTGATGTAAATGTTCTTCTCTTCCAGGCTCTGCTCAGCTTCAGCGAGCTTGCGAGTGAGCATCTCAACGTGATTGAACAAGTCCTGCGCCAATTAAATCAGCACCCACTCAAATGATTGCATCGAGTTATTTAGACTCACGACGATCAAGGCGGATTTCCGGTCGTCCTCGACTTTACAAATCGTCCATCTTTCCTCCAGGTTCGCGACATCAAGGATAGCTGCCATTTTGATTTTCAACAGCCCAGAAAGCTGCGGACACTGGGACTGAAAATGACCGTGACCAGAATTCGCATGAAAGCTTTCAAAAGACGATGGATAACGGTGCCTGGTATATGAGCGTGTAGTATGCCTGGCTGTCTGCCTAGGAGCCCAAGCCCATGGCTCAAACAGGTGCTGCGGGGTTGCATTATCACTGCAGGGGATCATCGAATGAGCTTAGGCTGCAGACGCTGCGATCCATCCATTTCAACATGATTGCACCAAAAATACGACAGCTGTTGGAGACTTGCGGGCCGGTCGCATAATGGTCGGGGGCTGAGGGCGAACGTTTGGCGCGTAAGGAGCAACGACTCCGCCTCGTGTTGGTTGGGCCGGACCGCCAGCAACAGGAGGAAGCCAACATGACCGACCAACATGCAAGTCAACGAATACCACAAGCTATGAAGTAATCTTTCATTCCGCTTTCACGAACCCTCCGCTTTCTAGGTCCGGCCTTGGAAGGCCTTTGTTCAATGTGAGGCGCAGCGCCCGCGATTTTATCGAGACCAAAATTCGGATACCAACCCCAATTCTCGGAAGAGATCAGTAACCTCTTGAGCATCCAGTCTGTCGTAATCATGCGATGCTTTGTTCTCATACCAAGCCTAGAGATCTGTAAGTCACCGAAGAAATAAGTTGGTAGTACATAATGGTTAGGTTCAATCGTACCTTTGAAAGCTTCCACATCGTATCCAAGTTCATCACCTCTCCATATCTGAATCCGTATCGTTCGCACTTGAGATAGATTAGTGAAACTTCTAATTTCATTAAAGGCCTTCGTTGTACTCACCCACTCCGCCGCGTGTGTCTGGCTGCCGAAAACGTGAATCGTGCCACAAGCGAACCTCACGTCGGTCCACCACGTCTTGAGAGGTGCGGAGAAGTGAACCACGCATTTTTCGGTATCCACTTCGTTTCCATGAAGTTTAATGCCATCATTTGTGACTATGAAGTTCATCTCCCCATCGATTGTGCCGGATTTGGCGGACAAGCTGACGGGGGATGAGGAGGAGCCATGAGGACCCAGCAGCATCGCAGCCAAGCCGAAGCCGCACCAGGCGCAGTTCGTCCACCAAGACCGGGCATCTTGAGCCTAATCTTGCGATCAAAAGCGATTCGACGTTAATGTGAAAAGACAACTTACCACAACACAGGGCGTGGGACTATTCACAATACTGTCAGCAGCATTCGTTTGAACGTCGTTTTGGACACTTTACAGGTGAGAGAATGGATGTGCCATGCAAATTGGTGTCGGGGTATGAACTCCATGCTTATGCAAAACTACATGGTGGGCGGCATCAAGCTGTTGAAATGAAACGCGCACTTGTTCCTCGCTGATGCCGATTGATTGGGCAATATCTTGCGTCGTTGGCGGACGGCAGTTCGCGAGATAATACTCGAAAATACGGTATCGAACTTCTCGCGTAACCTCGTCCATATTGAAATTGTGCTGATGAAATTGTTCTTTGTGGTAACTGCAATAACAACTAAGACTTCTAATTGTATTTGCAGCTCAAAACTGGGCATCGGTCCGCCTTTATTTGATGAAGAATATCCCGTGTCAATGCTGGGTATGGTAGAGATGATCAGTAATCACTACACTATTGCACTGATGTTATCCACAGCTGTCATGTGCAGGGCGTGGCTTTGTGAGGTGTAGGGCGCAGGGACCTTGGTCAATGGCCAAGAGTTAATCAAGGGTGGAAACAGGACCGTAAAACATTACCGCAACCGTCGAATTGGGAAATATGGTGCGTGTAACTACTAGATGTAGAGTGACTGCTCAGGTGATCATCCAAATGCTGTTGGTAACCTTCCCTCGCAACCTAGAAGTTTAATCCAATATAAACACAAGGCGTGTCACGTTGAACATGTTGTTATCCGTCGAAACAGGTACTATGGCCCAATGTATGCTTCCTAAGAAGACCCTGCTTTTATTTGCTAACTCGAGCAGCATCACATGCAATTTTGTGAGAGCGACTTAGGCTGTTTTTGAATCAAGAATGATGTACAACATTATGTCATACTCTGCAACTAGTCCTTCATGAGTCTTGGTTTGTAGTGAAGCTGTCGAACATACAAGACAATGCTTAGGTGGATTAGATGAACAAGAATCGGTGATACTGCGAAATGCCACGTGAAGCTGTGAAACCGTCTTAAAATAGGATCGGGTGTTCGAAATGATCCAATTTTCGTTTTTTCATGTGTGCACAATCACTGTTGATGCACGTCTAGTTCGTAGCATGTCTACTCTATTTCCTCTTTCTACTACCCTCTTTAGCGCACCTGTTCTGCGTCTATCGTTGTGAATCTATCTCTTGGACGCCCAAGAAGAGCAAAACTCCGTAAACCCAACCCTGACCCTTTTGTAATCACCATATCTATAGTTCCTTTACCAGGATATCATCCGTCTGAACCACAGAGCCGACAACAAAGTCGTGAGTGCCGACAGCCTTGTATCCCCATTTTTCATACGCCTTCCTTGCTCGGTAGTTCTCTTCCCACACGCCAAGCCAGATGTTCTTGAAGCCCTGCTTCCTAGCCATGTCTTCTAACTTGTCTGCAAGTGCCTTGCCGGTGCCAGTACCGTGGGCCTTGGGGTACAAGTAGATCCGCTGCAGCTCGACAATGCCCTCGAGGTCCGCGACACATGGCTCCGTCGAGCCGCGGGTCAACATGGCGAAGCCCAAGATGTCGCCGGCAGCGTCCGTTGCGAGAATGGTGTCTTTGTTGGTATCTTTCAAGTCCTTTGTGACTGCTTCAATGCTGTATGACTCGTCCAGAAACGCTTGCAGCTCGTGCGGCTCTACTGAGTGGCCAAAGGTGACGGAGAAGACATGCGCACCCAGCTCCGCGATTGTCTTGGCATCGTCGAGTGTGGCTGGCCGGATGTCGATGTTAGGACGACCGTCCGATCGGATCTCTACTGACTTCGCCATGGCTGCGGGAGTGGCCGACGAGAACGAGATCGGGCGCTTGAGGAGGCGGCTGACTTGACGATCCCGAGCGACGGTGAAGGGATGATGATGAAACACAAAGAGTGACCTGTACGGATAGCCCGGATTAACTTTCCTACAAATCGAAGACCCGAGCAGCTGGGCCTTTTGTACAGATTTTGAGCATCGCGTAACCGCTTTCATCGTTGCAAGAACTGGATCTTTTGTCGATCGATGTTTCTGGAAACCGCGAGACACGTCGCACTAACTCTAAAAAATCCGGCAAGGCGCGTTTGCTGGCTGCCCTTTTTCCGAGCACATGGCAGGTCTCGCCTTTGTTGTTGCGCCTTGTTGTCAATGCCATCCCTGAAAAGGCAAAATCATTGGTCTCGGCGCCGATGGTCCACTTCGGCCTGCGCCCTTAGCTTGACAAGGGCATCTCCATAGTGCCTAGTGCTGTAAAATCTCCCCCATAATTAGGGCGTTCATGGAGCGATCTAGGTTATCAAGTCTTCGGAGCTGATCCCCGAGCCAATCAAGTTTACATGATTGAGAGAATTCTTCTCGCAGATCATGCGGAGATCGGTAAAAATGCAGTTGAAATGCAGTTGAAATGTTGGCTACGCATAGGTACAACGTGGCGGCAAGGAAGCCGCCGTTCCGCCATCCCGCTGGATCCCGCTCTCAAACGGATCAAGACCGTTCAAGCCACCACCAACGAGAGATCGAGTTCGATGCGAAGATTCTGATGTTTGAACGGCGCCAAGATAGGGCAGTCAAATGTTCGAGGAAGCTAATTGACCATATATGATCATGAATTCGGAGGCTATTAAGTATATCTAAACAAAATGCTACGCAATTTTCCCAAGTACCAGAACATCCAGAGACCCTTCTATAACCAGCCTGGCCGGGTCCTTAAGCGCTCTCAACTTTTTCTTCCGCCGTCTTCTTCGTCTTCGAGCCAAATATTACGATGCAGATCACAGCAGCAGAGGACACCATGACGAATAGAGCACTCACTGTCGAAAACCAACCGACACCAATGCCCTGGACTCCCGGAAGACATACTGCTGTCGCAATAGCGGCGAATAGGTACCTAATGAAGTAGTTGCTCGCTGTGGGTTTCACGTCAGAAATGCCATCTTCATGATACAGAAAGACGAGTTAAGTCGGTGAGTTGGAAAACATACCCATGACTTCGGATGCCCGGTCTCGGAAGACATCAAGGCAATAACTGTTTAGGCAAGGAAAGCAGACCATCTGAGCAACACCCTGCACAAACATGCAGATAATGGGGAGGGGGATGCCTCCCTTTTGTTGATCGATAGCCCATCCGTAGATGATCGCACTTCCTGGAATCACCAACCCCATGGCAACAAAAGCACTTCGGAGTCGGTCCTCCGGCACCCGCCTACCACGCTTCTTGATCCACTTCTTGACGGTGTAGTCCGCGTAGGGGCCGCCGACGAAGGTGCCTGCGAGATATCCCGCTCCCGGAGCCAGGAAGAAGAATCCGGATTGCAGCGGGGAAGTTAGGTTGAATCGCGGGTTGATCACGTAACGAACGGGCGTCAAGAGAACTTGCATGTTCCACAGAATCGATGATGCGGCGATGCCCTGGTTGTGTAGTTAGCTGGGGGTGAACGAACAGAATGCGTCTTACCGCGTTGATCAAAACGCGTCATGCGTTTTGAGTTGAGGCTTGCAGCTTGCAGCGGTCCAGCTTTGGCGCGAAAACCTACGATGTCTCTTAATGGCAGTGGGGTTTTGGAAGACTTACCACAAGAAGAATCCTCGGATGACGGAAGAGGGAAATGACGCGGAACGGGTTGGTCCATTCCCAGACCTGTCCAACTTTCTCCTTGAAGGTGAGCCCCTCCAGCTCTTCGGACCACTTGCCATGACTTGTTTCCGGCAAGAAAGCAACGGCCAGGATCATTGCTACTCCTCCCACAGCACCTTGGAACCAGAAAAGCGATTCCCATGTAGAGTAAGTCACGATGACGCCTCCGAGGAAGGGACCAAAGGCAGGTCCAATCAGAGTGCCACCCAAGAACCAGCCCAAAGCTGTACCGCGCTCAGTCGGTCGATACACGTCGCTCAAGCAACTTGAGCCGACGACTAGGAAGCAAGTGCCCCCGAACGCGGTGATGCAGCGGAAGATAAAGAAAGCTGCGAGGTTGGGGGCCTTCGCAGTCGCCAGAGAGAATGTGCAGAACAACACTGTCGAGATGACAAAAACCTGAGACATTTAGTTCAACGGAGCGGTGGAGAAATTGCGCAACAGAAAAAGTTGCCAAAAAGCCTATTGTGAAGACTACTATTGTACATGATGTTCGAGGTACAGTGATGATTGTGCTTACCCATTTTCTGCCATACACCTGACTAATCGGGCCCCAGAAGAGGACACCGATGCCCATGATCAATAGGAATAGCGCGTTGGAGTAGTTGATAATGGTTCCCGTGGTGTTGAAAGCCGCTGCCACCTCAGGCAGGGCCGATAATACCAGGAGGGCTGCCAGATTGACCCCTAGACCACCAAAGGACACAATGGCTGTGATCAGGATCTTGCGCTTGGGGGTGAACTTGGCGTAAACCGTCTCATCCTCACGATAGGAGAAGGGCCGGCTGGGAGTCTGCGCGAGGATGTTCACGCCCTTCTCGGCGTTGGAAGTTCTCATCGCGAGCAAGTCTGGCGGCAGCTCATCCACTCGCGTGGGTACTTCTGACAGCGTATTTATCGACGACATCTTGGAGACCTGTTCGATGTAGCGCTTCCTGTGACATAGAAAAGAGAACACGGAGCTGAATGCGATGTATTTGCCAACTTGGGTTGAACTAAAGACAGGATGAAAGAGAATCGCTGACAAGGGAGAATTCAGGATTTTGCCAAGAAAACAGTCTACTCATTCCAACAATAACCCAGCGCAAAACAATCCAGAAATAGGGGACGAGCTTTGCATTTAAATACGCCTGTGCGAAAAGTTCAAAGGGAGTTGAAAGAAAACGCAGAAAAAATCCTTACCCGGTCGGTCTCCACTCGGACACCCAATTCCGAAGTCGGTCAATCACAATCAATGGATCAACAGCTCCGAGACGCCTTCAAAGACATCATCCATGAATTAAGGAAGCTCAAAACCAGCAAAAAATGTTTCATTGGGCCGGGTCCGGCTAGGAATTCAAAGCGGAGCGACTCCGCAGCGGGGAACAACCACACAATCTGCAACTTGTTGCGTCTGCCCCCTCCACTTCGGGTTGAAATCAGGCACGATATTGGACAAGGGCGCCCGCGGGGACCCACTGAGGCTGCAATTCCCTTATCTAACACCTTTTTGGGTCTGGGCCTGCGTCTCGAGGATAATGTGGAAATTTTGCCGGGGCCGGGAGCGGAGCGTGGGGGTTCCCAGGAGTGTTGGTTCCCTCTCGTGTCGGTGCCGGCGCATCGGGCAAGAAGCCGAAGTTGAAGGGCCCGAGGTCGGCCGGGACTGAGGCCACCGAGACAAGATAGACTCCGCCCTCGGACCCGCTACTGCCGGTCGCCGCATGCCGTAACGCGGAGGGAGAGACTGGAATGCCGTGTGACGATGTCTGTGAATCAGACGGTGGTCTGTCCTGGAACTTTACTTCTCACGCGTCCCTCCCCTGCTAATCATAATAGTTGTAGTCCGATCGCTTTGTCCCGACCTTCGGAGGAGACTACTTGACTCGGCTATCCCTAGCATCCTCAACAAGTAAGTCTGCAGCTAGCATTTCTAGCTAATCAAAGCTATGTGAGGGGCTGACTTATCCCTGCAAAACATCAAAAGTGTCGATCAGGACAACGTCTGCTGCATCAGGGAAGCCGTCTTTCGGTCAAGGTGCCGTTGGTGATTATGATGCACAACAAGAAAGTGAAGTGATTTCTTCATAGCTCGCGAAGACGTATGGTGTATTTTTAGTTGCTAAATTGTGCTCCAACATCACGTTGCCTCCGGTCCGAAGAAAACATTCAAAGACCAATGTTGCCAGCTGTCTGTTATCTGGTCTTCCAGTCATTCTTCAAACTCCAAGCGTATGCAACCCGATAAACATCGTCTTCATGCCACCACTTTCCAATGACCTGCATGCTCACTGGCAGCTTAGTTCCGGAGCCCTTAAGTGGGCCTTCCTCGATCGTGAGCATACCAATAGGCATGGCCAGCACCGGGTGCCCTGACTGATCAAACGGAGCAGTGTTCGCAGTCAACCCTACTTGTTTCCCGATCTTCTCCAGCGGCGATGCATCATACGGGGTATGCGAGTTGGCGATGTAGGGCAGGTTGGGCGCAACCAGCACGTCATACTTCTTGAGTGCCGCGTCATAATCGTCTCGGAGCTTCCTGCTCAAGTTCGTTGCCTTCCCCAACAGACCGGGAAACGCCTTTTGCGCGTAAACCCCGTTCAGGTATATGTTCTTAGACGAGACGTAGGCGTTTTCCCATTGCTCTTGGGTAAGATTTTGGAACTTCTCGGTGAGGTCTGTCATCACGTGGCCTCTTCTGCCGAAGTTGAGATTTCGCTTGGCGAGATATCCTCCAGCCTTGCTGATGGCCGTCCACACTGCTGCGCCTTGAGAATGGAACGGTACGGAGACTTCTTCGACGGTTGCGCCCAGGTCACGTAGTCCTTGGATCGCTGCTTCCACACAGGCTTTGACACGAGGTTCAACTGAGGGTTGGTTCATGCCTTCGATCAAAACACCGACTTTAACACCGGATAGGTCTGCCGGATTTTGCAACGCAACCAGATTGTCGTAATATTTGGGGATTGTATCCGGCGAAGGTGCTGCAAAAGACCGGTCGTCGATGTTGTCGTTTCCGGCGATGGCTTGCAACATCAAAGCATTGTCGAGTAGAGTTCGCGTCATGGGCCCGACGTGATCATTCGTCGGCTCGTTAGAGCCGCAAGCCGTGTAAGGGACAAGGCCAAAGGTAGGCTTGAGACCGTAGATACCACACCAGCCGGCAGGCACACGAATTGAACCTCCTTGGTCTGCGCCCAGAGCCATGTCAACATCGCCGTTGGCTACCAGAGCTCCAGAGCCGCTCGAGCTTCCTCCACTGCTGTAGCCTTTGGCGTAGGGGTTGTGTACATGGCCGGTTGATGATGAGCTGCTTGTAGCTGAGTGACACATGTTCTCGCAGACTGACTTGCCGGCAATAATGGCTCCGGCTTCGAGAAGCCTCGTGACGATAGTCGCGTCAGTGTTCTAATGTCATTCGTTAGTCGCTGGATACCCTCAAGGGGTTACGGAACAGTGTCTCACAGGAGTGTAATCTTTCACGAAGTCGGTGCCCATAAGCATCGGAACACCCTTTACGGCTATATTGTCCTTGACAGCAATCGTCTTTCCAGCAAGAAGTCCTCCTTTCTTCTGCTGGTCCTCAATTCGACATTTCCACGCCCACGCTGATAGGAGGTTGTTGGACGAGTCAGGAAAGTGAATGTCTTCTCTTGGAAATCTAATCTCATTCACTGGTGGTACATAATCTGCAAATACTATTAGTCCAGCTTGACAAAAGGTGTACACACAACTGACCAGGGAGAGACATAATTCCGACAACGGATTCGTGGAATACCGCAAGCAGCTTTTGGTACTCATCCTTTTCATTATTTTTCAGAGTAACACCCAGCGCATTGAGGCTATCGTCAAGAACTTCCGCCGTGACGGGGTTTGTCTTGTCGACGTTCAAAGAGAAGACGGACATTTCGGGGTCAATGTCGAGGTCTAGGCAGAAAATTCAAAACGATGCACTCCGTGAACTCGAGGGCTGATTCGAAACATTCGCGATCAAAGCCAGCTGATATTATTCAAGCCAATGTAGATTGGATGTCCATAGTAGTTCTAACTCATACCTAATCTCTTAGATAGGTCCGATAGCCCTGAATTGATATCTTATCGCTATCATCAACTCCTCGCGAACAATTTACTGCGTTCGGATCATCCGATTCCTCTCTCAAAAGGTCGTCGGCGACTGTGAACCGGTAGCAGTGCAGCTTGATCAACCCCACTATGTCCTTATCTTAGGAAGGATCAACCCCACCATTCACGTACCCCGCAAGATATCGCAAGATGAAATAGTTCTCGGAGGAGGGGCAAACCGATAGTCTTGTGCGGCTATCTTGCGACGGATGCACATTAAGGGTTTCAAATATTGTATTAAAGGGCATCCATTGCTTGTCGCGACAAGTACGAGATTCCGTTGAAGCCATCGATCTTGGGCGGCTCACTTACAAATTCCGCCTAAGACTATTAGACCATTCGAAAAACACCGACAATTTTAAACAACTCAAAAAATGGTGCATATCGAGGAGAGTCTCCAGATACCTCGCGACTTTGAGGGTGAGTGATACTCCACCAATGGAAGCATGTGTGTCTAACGTACATGTGTCCAGGCTTCGGCGAGGAGGGGTTTGATCCGAAATGGCCCAATGGTGCTCGCATTGCCGTGTCTTTTGTCCTCAATTATGAGTAAGTTTCCATATACGAATCTTTCAACAAGTATCACAGGCTGATGGAGATTCCAGAGAGGGAGGAGAGCGAAGCATCTTGGATGGCGATCCTTTTTCGGAGCCATATCTATGGGAAAAGGGTGCGTCCGGCGGTTACAAAGAAGGTGCACGATACCTCAACGCCGAGCAAGACTTCGAGTATGGCAGCCGTTCTGCGTCCTGGCGTCTTATCCGACTATTCAAGGAGTTCGGATGGAGCTTCACCACGTATGCCGTCGCTTACGCCCTCAAACGAAACCCGACCTTCGCGAAAGCTCTGGTCCGCGACGGCCACGAGATTGCCTGCCATGGTTTAAGGTGGCTCGACATCTGGAACTACTCGTTGGAAGAAGACAAGGAATACATCAAACAGAACATTTTGATGTTGAAAGAGGTTTCGGGCGAAATGCCGGTGGGTGCTTACTTCGGCCGCGGAACCCCAAACACTCCTTCCTTGTTCCCAGAGGTTTGGAAGAGCCTCGGTGGAGAGTTTCTCTGGTCCTCGGAGTGCTACAACGACGATGTACCTTACTGGCTCGACTTGCCGTGGGAGAAGGACTTGCCAGAAGCTGACAGGGAGGGCATGCTTCTGATCCCTTACAACTATGACTGCAATGATGGCAAGTTTCACATGTCACCTGGGTTTGGCAGCTCAGTCGCTGAGACATATGAGCAATATCTCAAAAACACCTTCGATTGTTTGTACAGAGAGGGCGGGAAGTTGATGAACATTCCGTTGCATACGCGCATCATCGGCAAGCCAGGGAGATCTGAGGCCCTGAGAAAGTTCATGACGTACATCTCAGAGAAAGAGGGGGTTTGGGTCACGACTCGAAGGGATATTGCTAAGCATATGAGGGCTGCATTCCCGTACAAACCCAATGGCGAGTGGATGAAGGGTGTGTGAGGTAATGGTTCTAGTCAGAGAAATTTCATGAAGGCTTGATCATTCAATTACAGCACCGACGTAGATATGCAGCAAATGATAAATCTCTTAGCACAAATATTGAAGTAGCTTGCTGAAAACACCTACTAGTTCTGTGTAGTGAACACATGATCAATCACTTTCTTTCCACCGCTTGCATAGCCAAGAAATTTTGTTGAGAAAGACGATTGCCAATGATGGCCGACTTGGCACTATTCCTGGCTGTTCGAGCTACGAGTGTCGGAACCTCCGATCGGCAGTGCGACGGCTGCTGCGTCGGAATGTTTCCGAAGTGGGGGCTAGTGTCTCACGGAAGTCGTCCGACGAAGAAAAAGCTGTCCAAAGGCGAGATCGGCACCGGTGATAGCAACCGACATCTATGTAAATCGGACGTCCGCCTCCGCAGACTCACCCAGCGTTGCGGCCAGTTTGGCAGTCGAGCTTCTTGGCGGTCGTCTCATGTTATCAGCCTGCGGAGATGACGCCTGACGCACATCCCCCGGCTTCATCGCCCCCGGTCTCCTCAGCCGGAGTCCCTCCGAACCCTAGAAAGAGAGGAAGAACGGCCTGCACAAGATGTAAAAGTCGTAAGCAAAAGGTAATCGGCTATGGTTGTTAAGAAATACTGGAAACCAATCTGATTTTGGAGTGTGATGACCAATTTCCGGTCTGCTCGAACTGCCGCAGGTCAGGCGCTCAATGCGACAAGGTAGATGTCACAGATGAAGCTTCATCAACTGCGTAAGTATACACAAGGTATCGGGGATTTAATGAACGTAAGCTGAAGACTGATCCAGATACACCCGGGCATTAGAAGAAAGGGTAGCCTACCTGGAGAACAAGCTGGCTCAAATTCCCACGCCAGAAACCAACTCGACCCCAAGAGAAACCGCCAGTATTCACTCCAGTCACTCAAACAGGGACAAAAATGCTCTAAGCGACGTGGTTGCACACGTGTCGCTAGGGAATTTCGAGGCTCCTGCCTATGTTGGACCTTCGGCCGGGTTATCGCTGGCCCTCAATCTCGGTGAGATGGTGCAAGCTACAGTCTGGAACAAGATGTTGCCAGACATCCATGACGGTGCAAGTGCCAATCGGTCAACGGGCTGCCTCAATCCAGGCCCTAGATGTCTTACAGTAGAGGATCTCTTGGCTCACGGTGTCAAAGAGCCCCCGAGTGATGAGCAGGGTTCAAAGATGTTGAGGGCATACATGTCCCAACTGCACTCCAAGTATCCTTTTCTCGAGCCTGAGGAATTGTGGAAGCTGCATGGCGAAAGAGTCGCGTTGGCGGGAACTCCACCGCAAAGTTTAAGCAAAGCTGAAAGATTTGGTGTCTTTAAGCTGTACCTAGTGTATGCTATGGGTGCAACATTGGTACAGTTAACACAGCGTGGCCCGGGCTTTTCCCCGGAGGTACGTGCTTATTTCTCCACGGACGTTGCAAAGTTGAGTACTTGAGCTAACATACTTATGGAAAGGCTCTCTACATCACTGCACTGCAGCACATATCTGCGGCAAGGGAATCGCGGACGGTGCAGAACATTGAGGCGATGACGTTGTTAGTCATGTTCCATCTTCGATCAACCTCTAGTCATGGACTGTGGTACATGATTGGTCTGGCGATGAGGACATCCATTGACCTTGGGCTTCACCGCGCAGCTCACGAAAACAATCTCTCTGATTCTGTGGTTCAGCGCAGGAGAAGATTATTCTGGTCTGTCTACTTACTAGAGCGGACGATCGCCATTTCACTCGGTCGACCCTTGAGTATCGCGGACAACCAGATTGATGTAGAATTCCCTGATACTTATATCAACAGCAGCTCATCTGCATCGGGGACTGTTGGAAACGACATAACGCTAGCAGTTGTGCTGTTCAAGCTCCGCCGAATCGAGTCGAAGATTCATCACTCCATTTACCGAACAGACAAAGCCTTAGATACCCTCCGACCAAAACTCGATCGTCTCTACCAACGGCTTCAAAATTGGCGGGTGTCGCTCAATGAGTGGATGGCACCGAATCATCCCGAGCTCAACTACGCTCTGTTGCTGTACAATCGCGCTCTCAGGCTTCTAATCCAACCTTTCTTGCCTCTTCTTCCCCCCTCTGACCAGTTCTACGGACTGTGCATGAGAGCTGCTGGGGATATCTGCCAGGCTCACAAAAGGCTCCATCAAACTCTTGACTACGGTCACAGCTTCATTGCCGTTCAGACCGTGTTCGTCGCCGGGGTCACTCTTCTTTATGGACTGTGGACACAGGGGAATGAGCTTTGGTCAGTAGCACTTGCGAATGACATCCGTGCTTGCTCTTTAGTGTTATTCGTCATGGGCGAGAGAGCACCTTGGGTTCGCAAATACAGAGACGCTTTTGAGGTTCTTGTGAACGCAGCCATGGAGAAACTTCAGGATGGTGAATCGGGCTTGGCGGAAATGGCCTCAGCTCAGATGCGTGCAGGAAGACAACAGGACACGACGATAGACGGGCAGAGCGAGGAAGCTGCCGGCGAGAGGGAAGTGGGACAAATGACTGATGAAAGCTTCGACCAGTTTCTGGGTAGCGTTGGAGATTCTGGAATTGCTGGTGGGGGTTTCGAAGGTGCTTGGCCCATGGTCGCTGAGTTGGCGAACTGGATCGATCAGGATAGCGGAAGCCCTGTCTGGATGCCCAATTTTGAATTGTTGCAGAGCCTTTCGGGCAATGACTAGGGATAGGCGGACGGTGAAAAATTTCGACGGCTGGTCTAATGCAGCTGAGCCTAATATATACGTCGGTGCTTCCAATAAAGAGTAACAATCGATTACATCTTTTCCCTCGACACGAGAAGGCAAATGATTACACCATGTTCTTCTCACTGACGGACTCAGTCCCTGTACCCTTTCCCTCAACTCGGCCTACGTTTCCGCCCTCAACAGCTGAGAGAACTCCTCGTATTGTGTCAACGCTTTCGCCCGCAAAGAAGCCTTCTGAGGAGGCCATATCCTCGAAGCCCATCGTCGCTTCAGACTCGCTTCCCTCGGGGTAAATAGGTGGCGGCCAAATCAGACACGACACGTAGTACACCAACGCTCCCATCGTGAGAGACAACAAGAACCCAAGCTTGTACATGTTTTTGCTGGCTTGATTGACGGCGTTTGGATCGAGGCTTCCCGCGATACCATGAACCGTGAATGCCACACCGGCAACCCAAGCGGCAATAGCCCGAAGGTTCCAGCCGTTTAGGTACGCGTATGGAGATCCTTTATCTTTGGTGTACAAGCTCGGAACATGAAAGTTGCCGCGGCGCAACATCCAGTAGTCGACAATCATGATCTATAGGTTTTGTCAGACAGAACTTTGTTCTTCTCTTATCCAATCAGATACATACCCCACAGGTCGGCATGAGGAAAACGGTGTAAGAGCCTAGGAATGTAAGAAACGAGCTAGCGCTGGAGATGATCTTCCATGGAACGCATAGCGGTGCTAGAAGTGCGCAGATAACCTGGCCACGGACGATGTTGATATACCTGGGCCAAAGTCCGCTGGCATCGGCACCAACCGGCAATGAATTCGAGCCAGCGTTCGTTGCAATGATTGCTAAGATCATGCCCTATAAGACGCGCATGTTAACAGGAGATCACAAGAATCTTGCTGAAAAGAGGGGACTCACTGCGGACGCGAAAAACATTCCTGCCCTTGCCCCAGGGCCCCAGTACTCAGTCAGGATGGCGTTGTAGAGATCCCACACGTTCCAGTAGCTCTTGCCGAGAAATCCTGCAGCAGCACTGGTTGTCGCACAGCTCAGGAACATTACCAAGACCTTGCTAACAAGGATACCGGTAGCCTGAGACCATGTTGCCTGTGCGGGCTTTGTAGCATACCGGGCAACATCGGGTTGGTTAACAAGAATCGGGCACAGTGCTGCCATGACACTGTTGATAGCCTGAATCATGGGCCACACAAGTGCAGAGCCACTCAGGGACTTCCCTCCAAAGTCAAAATCGCCTAGAGTTCCTCCGTTCATGTGAATGGCCCATCCCATCACACCAAACAGGCCAGCAGTTGTCGCCACGGACTTGACAACGAATAAATGGCGTAAGATCGTTGGATGCACAAACATGACTGGGAATTGAATAACCCAGAAAATGAAAAAGGCGAGTAGGTTTTTGGATGTGATTCCGGCACTGGCGGGAAGTCTGTTGGGTATTCTGTCCCACCCTGAACCAAAGATAGATCGCAAAGCGACTGACGTGAGCATGCCTCCATAGAAAGACTGGGTTGCGAAGTAGATGATGGCAACAGAGGCGCGAACCACAATGAACAGCTTTGCACCACTAACACCGGCAGCGGCTCTGACGTAGACTGGAAAGCCAACATGGTATCGAGTTGCGCCACGAGAGTTGAGAATAACAACGACGCTCAGAATAGCTGAGCCGATAACAGCTGCGATAATACCGTGCCACCATTGCTGGGAATATTTGAGTTAGCGACTGGCGGCTGGGAAAGGTCAAGTAACTAATCTCACAAGGCCGATAGAGATCAGAGTTGCTCCTAGGTTATATGAGCTAGGCGAAAATGTCTGCGTTAAGTAATATGCGAAGAAATGCAACGCAGTCCATGTACGCTGAGCTATGACGCTGTTAGCTATGGATTCCAAGCTGTCGTCTTCTCACGTTGCGTTCTTACAGGGCGGTGTTGGAAGCAAGTCTTCGTTGAAATAAGCTGGACCATCATCGGGATGCTCTTTGGTCTGAATGAAATGCTTGAACTCTTTTCGGGAGGAGAAAGCTCTCCGCAGTCTCGCGGCTTGACCCATCACAGCTTGTCGTGAACGAGATGGGCGACGCTACTCGGCAGATGTTTCACGAAAAGTGCATTACAGTCACTAATATCAAAAAACCGACATTATTTCAGTCCATTGCAGATCTTAAAGATCATGTAGATAACGAACAGACGCCTTATCACTGAGCCCGTACTGCCCTCGTCGCGGCGTCACACCCTCCAACTTCAGGATAGTTGATAAGAACCAGATCTTCCTCGCCAAGCCAGACACGACCAATACGTCTCTGATAACCATCGACTACCACAAAATTCCCCAGATAAATATTGTCGGATATCCGACCATCAGATAATTGGCCCGCCAGCCGGGCGACCGTCGGCATCGGATCCTCCGATGTGGACTAAACCGTTGTGGAGACGATCGCTTCAAAAGTTGCCGAAGCCCCTGTCAGCCATGACGCACCCATATTTTCATGGTCACATCAATTCGCCTTCGAGACCATTTCGCCGAGCCCGGAGCCGAAAACAGGCCGATGAACCAATCTTCGCCCACAGCTATCCCGTCTTGGCTCCCCGGACAGGTCCACTCTCAACGTCGGATTGCCGGTGTCAAATTTTTCTTTGAAGCGTGCAAAATGTCGACTCAACATTAATCGATTTCGAATTTCTAGTCTCTCATTCATCTTTCAATTCACTTGGCATTGTCTTGCGTGCTGCTTTTATTAGATGTTGGTTGCCCCATTTCAATAGATCGCCGACAAGGGTTGAATGATGAGGGGCGATCTCGAAACCACCAAGGCCGAAAAGGCTCTTCACGATCAGACTAATATACTTCCTTTGAAGCAGTTGATGGTCGTTTTTGCAACGTTGGCAATCACCCTCCTCATTGCGTTCATCGATCAAAATGGCATCAGTATCACATTACCGACAATCGCCGCCGACCTCAATGCCGAAGACACGATATCCTGGGCGGGAACATCATCGCTCATCGCCAACACTACTTTCCAGATGCTTTATGGACGATTTTCAGACATCTTCGGCCGAAAAGCCGTGTTTTTGAGTGCAATTGGTCTGTTGGCATTGGCAGACCTTCTTTGCGGGCTCTCGCAAAATGCGGCCATGTTCTACATCTTCCGAGGCATTGCAGGAATTGGCGGTGGCGGTATCACGAACCTGGCCATGATCATTGTGTCTGATGTTGTAACTCTCGAGCAACGTGGCAAGTACCAAGGTATCATTGGTTCAATGGTCGGGCTAGGAAATGTTCTTGGCCCCTTTCTCGCCGCTGCCTTCATGGAGAGGGCAACCTGGAGAGCTTTTTTCTACATGCTATCACCTCTCGGAGTCATTGTTGGAGTCATCTGCTATTTCTTCTTGCCTTCAAAACCACCCAACGACGACTTCAAGAGTAGCGTCAAGAAAATCGATTACGCTGGATCATTTACTTCGTCTCTCGGCGTCATTCTTTTGCTGATTCCAATTTCGGGAGGTATGTTGACGCACGTGAAGCCCGTTTAGTAGAATTTATTGCTCACATAGTACAGGTGGCGCTTATTTTCCTTGGAATTCGGCAATGGTAATTAGCATGTTAACCATCGGAGGGCTCGCTCTTGTGTCATTTGTCGTCGTTGAGTGGAAGTTTGCGAAGCTGCCAATGATGCCAAGTAAGTTTCCCTTTGATGGCCTCCAGGATTGATTGACTGACGTTGAGTTAGTCCCGATTTTCAAAAACAAGGTTGTCGTGGTTATGTTGGTGCAAACCTTCTTGTTCGGGGCTGCATATCAATCTTATCTTTACTACATCCCGCTGTACCTTCAAAATGCCCACCAATTTTCGGTGATGCACTCAGCGGCTATTTACGTCTCTCTCGTGGTCTGTCAGTCGGTCTTTTCGATCCTATCGGGTCAATACATATCTCGCACCAAGCGATACGGAGAGGTGATTTGGCTAGGATTTGGGTTCTGGACATTGTAAGTACATCCAGTGAACCACCAATTGTGGTCCGTGTTATCAAAGTCGAGCAAGGAAACTAATTATGACATAGGAGCGCCGGTCTCACATTGATATTCGATCGAAACACGAAACCGGGCATCATTGTCATACCGCTACTAATTGTCGGCATCGGCGTTGGCTTCATTTTCCAGCCGACCCTGGTCGCGCTGCAGGCGCACTCGATCAAGTCGAGACGAGCTGTCATCACATCCAATCGCAACTTCTTCCGGTGCGCTGGCGGTGCGTGTGGTCTGGCTATTTCCGCTGCGATTCTTCAGGCGACTCTTCGAGCAAACCTTCCGGCGGAGTTCAAGTACCTGTCAAGCAGCACGTACTCGATTCCTCAGCTGAGCAGCGACGACATGTCAAGAGTCTTGGACGCATATATGGCAGCGAGTCGTGCCGTCTTCATCTTTCAGATTCCATTAGTTGGACTTTGCTTAGTCGGTTGCTTGTTAATCAAAGACCGTGGCCTGGAGCCAATTGACGATACGAAGCCGGAGGATACATCAAGCGAAAGCCGAGATGAGGAGGAAGGTATCTCACGGGAGAAGACTTCCGATAGAGATGGCGCAAACGGAGATTCAGGTTTGACAAACACAAGAAATTAGACGGTTGTTTCTGCGTATGGGGATTAGAATCCGGGGGGTTCTTGGGGCAATGGTTTACGATGCATGAAAAAGGATAGATGTATAGACATCATAGACATGGGCGGCGTAAGGGCATATTGATAAACCTCATAATAGAACAAGATTTCAATAGGTCGTATTTCATTAAAAAGACATCGAGAATTGTGCGTCTTCAGCCACATACACATGACCTGGCTTGAACTTGAAAAGCAGCATCCAAGTGGCTTGGTCCTGACTGTGGCTTGTGGCACAGAGTTGGAGGTGGGGTCAATGGTCGAAATGGGTCCCGTCTTCAGAAACGATGTGGTAAGAAAATCCACTCTACCGCCGCGTTCTCTATCCACGCAAACGCGGATAGAAACCCGAGACAACTTCTGCCGCGACCCGATGAGTGGGGATCGTGGGATGGCTTCTCCGTGCCTCGTGTACAAGCTGCCGTGGGGGTCAAGTTGGGGTGGTGGGGGGCTTATGCGGATGTTTCATGGAAGCTAATGGAGTCACGACCCCATTGACCCCAAACCCGTTGGTGGATTGGACTGCACATGTGGCACTTCGAGGTCGGGGTCTGACGATGGTCTGAAGCTCTGTTAAGAATGCGATGTGTAATCCCCGGATTGCTTCAAATTCCCCCGCCTAGCTTTACTCCAAAACTTCCTCCGCAGATTTGCCCGCAGACCCCACTGCTCAGACCACCCAACCCACAGACATCATGGCCAAGATCAAGTCAGTGCGGTATTACCGCGTGAAGCCTCGATGGCTTATGGTGAAGATCACCGATGAGAATGGAGAGTATGGTTGGGGCGAGGCCACTCTCGAGGGCCACGACTTGGCGGTAGAAGGCACCCTTGAGGAGATGATCCCAAGGATTGTTGGTCTCGAGGCAAAGTAAGATTTCATGATTATCGTCATTGACACCATAGAAACCCAAAGCTTCAGTGCTGACTAGAGATTCACAGCAACATTGAGCACATCTGGCAATTATTTTGGAGACATGGCTTCTACCGTGGAGGCCCCGTTTTCATGTCTGCAATGTCCGGTATTGATATCGCATTGTGGGATTTGAAGGGTACGAAAAACAAACAGACCACTTCAATTGTCCCCCATACTGACATCATGAAAAGGACGAAACCTCAAGGTGCCCATCTACGAGTTGTTGGGTGGCCAAGTCAGAAACAAGGTCCAGGTTTACTGCTGGATCGGTGGTGACAGACCTTCCGATGTTGAGGCTGCGGCGTAAGTACTCTGAACAATTAGCAACATCCTCCAAATGCTGACATCTCCCCAGCAAGAAGCGCATTGAGCAAGGCCTTACTTGCGTCAAGATGAACGCAACGGAAGACCTGAACTGGGTTGACTCGCCCAAGGTATTAAGTGCTACTGTTGAGCGGCTCAGGCAAGTCAAGGCTCTGGGTCTTGACGCTGGTCTCGACTTCCACGGCCGTCTCCACAAGGCCATGGCCAAGCAACTAGCAAGGGCACTTGAGCCCCTTCAACCGCTTTTCATCGAAGAGCCGTTGTTGTGTGAGCATCCCGAAGCTATCAAGCAACTTGCCGACCAGACTACGATCCCGATTGCCTTTGGCGAGCGCCTGTATACTCGCTGGGACATCAAGCGTTTCCTTGAAGATGCTAGCGTCGACATCCTTCAGCCTGACATCGCCCATGCTGGAGGTATCTCCGAGACTAAGAAGATCGCCACAATGGCCGAGGCCTACGACGTGGCGATTGCACCGCACTGCCCGCTTGGTCCCGTTGCATTTGCTGCAAGTGTCCAGGTTGCGCTGTCATCCCCCAACTTCTCCATTCTTGAGATGAGTTTGGGAATGCATTACAACACCGAAGCCGGAGACATTGACCTGTTGACTTATTTGAAGAACCCCACGGTCTTTGACATTGAGGGCGGTTATGTCAAGGCGCCAACGGGCTATGGCCTCGGCATTGACATTGATGAGGAGATGGTGGAGAAGATCTCCAAGGAAACAGAACCATGGCAATGCAAAGTCTTCCATGGTCCTGATGGAAGCATTAGAGAATGGTGAAGAGGATGGACTAGACTGTACTTTTATCGTTCAAAATCAAAATGCATTGCCAAAACTACATTCCCAAAATGATCACGCGCGTTTGAATTGGTCTGGTAGTGGCCTGTGTCATGCTTAGAGAATATACAAAGACAAAGCCTTTTAGATTACTGCATTTACCAATGGACCAAACTGTATTGTAGTACGAAGTCTTCATATAGCCTAAGCCATCACTGGTAACATGTCCGCAAGTTTGACGATGGGCTTGCATGATTTGGGTCCTAGAATGGCCTAAGTATTCTTCAAAGGGGCTCTGGCACACTTACAATACAGCGGTCTGTTCAGTATGTTGCATTTGCTTTGTGCCATAAGCTGCGTACCAGCCGCTCACATTTTCCCATGTAGCTCACTCGTGCTTGTTCGCAAGTTTACGAGACGAAGTACAAATCTCTGCCCCCACGTTACCTTTCATCAAATTCTCCGATATGCCGTCTATTGCCGTGCCCTGTAGAGATCGCCATGTCTTAGCTAACCACTTTAAATCCCGGCATGGGGGCTCCAAGCGGGGTTTGCTAGTCATCAGACGCCTGTGTTGTCCCAATATCACGGTTGTTTATTCCTACATCAGGTCTATCCCGGCCGCAGGCCCATCAATACATCCTTTTCTGCTCACTACATGCGTCCCAACCCACTCTATCGACCCATCCAGCCGCCATCGACAGTAAGCAGCTCACCCGAAACGTACAAACTCCCCGCCCCCGCCAGAAACACCGTGGCCCCCTTGAAGTCGTCCGGGGTACCCCATCTGCCCGCAGGAATTCTAGCCAAGATGCTGGCGGCGCGCTCGGGGTTGTTGATCAGCGCCTCGTTCATGTCCGTCGCCACGTACCCGGGCGCAATGGCGTTGACATTGACACCTTGGCTCGCCCACTCGTTGCTCAACGCCTTGGTCAGCTGTGCAATGCCGCCTTTGGCCGCTGCGTACGCCGGCACTGTGATGCCACCCTGGAAGCTGACGAGCGACGCCACGTTGATGATGCTACCGCGGTGGCCGTTGACCGGGTTCGGGCTGCGGGTGAGCATGTAGGCGCCGAGGTCTCTGCAAAGGGTCCAGACCGTCTTGAGGTTAACTTGCAGAACCTCATCCCAGTCACCCATGGGGAACTTGTGTGCGGGGTGTCTGCGCTGGATGCCGGCGCAGGTGACTAAGATGCTCACATCATGGCCGTCTGCTAGAATGCGTTGTGTGAGGCCTTCCACATGCTCCTGATTTGAGAGGTCGGCGGTGTAGATGGTGGCTTTGCGGCCCAATGCCTGGACCTGCTTCTGGGTTTCTGTGTTGCTCTCGTCTCTCTGAGTACTGTCAGCAACAGCTGGGCTCGTGTAAATGGGGTGATGCTTACTTGGATGAGAATGATATCTGACCCTGCCTCGGCCAAGGAGACTGCCATGGCCTGGCCAATACCCCGCGTACCTCCAGTAATGACAGCCGTACGGCCCTGCAATGAGAATAGCTTTTCGATGATGTTCGCCATCTTGTGTGTGTATTGTGACTTGTATTGTTGTAAAATCACAATAATCTGTCTGTCAATATTGCACAGGCCTTCATACAAGTCTTCATATCAATCTAGAGTTCGAGAACCCATCTTGATCCCCAAATCTCACGAGCCCCTCCCCCGCGATCACGTAGGTAGACGACCCCCACGCTTAGCTTGAGCCCGCACTATTCCCCATCGCCCAGATCCGACCATCGGCTCAATACGGGCTTCTGCATGAAGTGGACCTCAGGTGATTCGTGTCACCACACGTTTGATCGATCTAGAAATGCCACGAAGTGAGGGGTTCGGCCCATCGCCAGCAAAGACCTTGCTCACGCGAGTCGTTCCCACGGGGAACCTGCGGGGAATGCTGGCTTTGAAGAGGGTGTGTGGATTTCAGGAACGCATCAGACCATTTCCGATCAGTTCCCTCTCCCTCTCCCCGCGGATTTGTCCGACCCGCTCCCCGCACGCAAACACCGGGCCTGTTGGGGGTCAGCCCCGCACAAGTCCGGACCCGCAGAGCCGCTCGGACATCGGGCTAGGAGCGACGGTGTGCTTGCGTGGGGGTCGGGAGGATTCCGCTTACGGTCATGGTCTCGAGACGGTCGGAGCCAAGTTGGTGTTAGCTCGATGCAGATGGGATGAAGAAAGAATGGGGCTGTTGCGAGAGATACACAAATCTGACAAAACCATGACGGTTGGGGGTCCGTTGAGGACCACGATGGGGGCATCTCATCTGAATGAGAGGGCAATTGGTATTACTCTGAGAACTTGTGGTTCCGCGTGGGGGTGATCTGGCGATGCTGTAAGTAAGTGATCCCACGATGCTGGTCCTTATTGTATCGAATGTCAATCCGTTGGTAAAGGTAGAAAAGTGGCGGCGGACTCTTGGAAGAATGATGTTAAGTAGGGATTTCGGTAATTCGAAAGGATGCTTCTGTAGTTAGACACAGCACAGAATTCTCAAGAATACTACAAAGATGTCATGTAAGATCCGCCCGCAAAGGTATCGGCGACTTAATTTCGTCAGCATTACTGACATGAAAGGCTCAAGCAAAACATTTCTCGAATGACCCCTCGGCACTTGTCATCGCCGGACTCCGGTCCCTAACAGCGATCAACCCATCTGTTGCGTTTGACGAAGCTCAGAAGACTGTGTTTCTGAAGGCTGCCGTCACCGATCCCAAGGTCGCCGTCATTTCCGGCGGTGGGTCCGGCCATGAGCCGTCTTTCGCCGGCTTCGTCGGCAAGGGGCTTCTCTCCGGCGCGGTAGCTGGCTCGATCTTTGCCTCGCCTTCTGCCGATCAAGTCTTCCGTTGCCTCCTCCGACTGGGATCCCAGCGCCGGGAGAACGGCATCCTCGTTGTCATTATGAACTACACCGGCGATGTCCTGCACTTTGGCATGGCTGTGGAAAAAGCACGAGCTGCCGGCATCCGATGCGACATGCTTGTTGTCGGCGATGATGTTGGTGTTGGGCGGTCCAGGTCCGGAAGAGTCGGAAGGAGAGGTCTTGCTGGTACAGTGATTGTTCAGAAGATTGCTAGTGCACTCGCAGCTCAAGGGTAAACACCGACGATCACCTTTCAAGGGGCCAGGGCTAAACATTTACAACAGGCATGACTTGACCGAAGTTCACAACATTGCCTCACAGGTTGCTGAAAATCTCGTCACCGTTGGCGCCTCTCTTTCTCATGTCCATGTGCCAGGCAGGGCACCTTCAGGAGATGATCTGTCGTCAAACGAAGAGATTGAGATTGGCATGGGCATTCACAATGAAGAGGGCTTCGGGCGGGTCAAAGACAGTTTGTCCGGCGTTGTTTCCACTATGTTGAACCAACTTCTGGACCAACAGGATACGGACCGAGCATTCATCCGCATTCAGAAGGAGGACAAGGTTGTCTTGATGATCAATAATCTCGGCGGTCTCAGTCAACTTGAGCTAGGTGCGATCACCAACGAGGTCATTTCACAGCTTAGGGAGGGACATGGCATTCAGCCAAGAAGAGCCCTGAGTGGTACCTATATGTCCAGCCTGAATGGCTTGGGCTTCAGTATTACTCTTCTGAAGGTTGTTGATGAGAGCTGGGTCCAGTTGATTGATGCTTCTACCGAAGCTAGTGGATGGTTGCCCACTATCACCACTGCAGACCTGCCCGAGAACCAGAAAGCCACGACGTCTTCCCAGGAGAAAGACATTGTCACTGACGAGGAACCTGTAGGAACTAACCTCAGAGGTAACAAGGACACTTATCCATACGAGAGACTACCAGCTGATTCTTCTTTAGTCGACGTTGCTGTGACTAAATCTGTCCTGATTAGTGCTCTGAATCATGTCATTGCTGCAGAGCCGGAAGTCACCAAGTACGACACACTAGTCGGCGATGGAGACTGTGGTCTCTGCCTGAAGACCAGCGCTCAGGCGGTGCTAGCATACATCAACCAACAGCAAAGTCTAGAGACAGATGCCGGAAAGCTTGTTGACAACATCGCTCGTGTTGTGGAAGCCAACATGGATGGCACCTCTGGAGCTCTTTATGCCATCTTTTTGAACGCCCTCGCTCACGGGCTTAGAACTCAGTCACAGCAGACCCAACAAGAGCAGCAAGCTACCAGTGAAATCTGGGCAAAGGCTCTCCAGTCGGCGTTGTCGGCTCTTGGAAAATACACACCAGCGCAGCCGGGAGACCGGACGGTAGTTGACGCCCTGGCGCCTTTCGTCTCCACATTCGCGGCGAGCAGCAGTTTGAAGGACGCTGTTGAGGCAGCAAGGAAGGGGTGTGAGTCTACCAAAGGCATGGAAGCGAGCTTGGGCAGATCCGTGTATGTGGGTGGAGAGGAGTGGAAGAATTGTCCCGACCCGGGGGCGTATGGACTTGTCAAGCTGTTGGAGGGTTTGATCGCCAGCCCGTGAATTCCAGAATTTCAAAAGTCAAAGTTGATTGAACTTATCATAGTTAAAGCTTCTTCGCAGTACGAAGATGCGAGCTTTTCGCATTGTGTCAAGGTTTCAGCAACAAGAAAGCCCGTGGGGCCCAAACTTCATTGCATGCGCGGCCAAAACCTTCACTATCACCCTGGTTATTAGCATTTACTCTGTGAGCGGATAGCAGCAAAAACACTGTCGCAAAGGAGCGGCTGATTGATGTAGTAATATGACTTGAATGCATTTTCGCCAAAAACCTCTGATACAGTCCGTTGACCAGCCCATTGTCCATTCTAACCTAGGTAATTATTGTTGCAACTTCTTCTCAACGCCGACGAGCTCGGAGAAACCGTCCAACTGCTTGGTGAGCCTTTCGCCCTCAAGCAGCGCGCAAGGCTTTCTGGGGAGGCCGCCGTAGTTGTAGTACTCCTGCAACGCAGCCTTGACAGAAACAAAGCCGCCTTGGATAGCTGTCCAGTCGCCCCGAGCAACAACAGCCTGCAGCTCTCTGGCCTCCGCCAGCTTACCCTCATCCCAAAGCTTCATCAACTTCACGCAAGCAAGAGGTGCAATGTTTCCGGTTCCGCCAATGATACCGTGTCCTCCGACAACAAGTGTCTGCAGAGTGAAGTCGACGCTGCCACCGAAAGTTCGGAATGGGTTGCCAGTGTCTCCCTTCTTAGGCACAGTAGCGGCAGCTATCCGGGCAAGCTTTCCGGTGTTGCCACAGGTCAGCTTCACGCCGACAATGTTGGGATGTTGCGACAGCGTGATGATGGTGTCCGAGTTGAGATCGAGGCCGCTGCACGCGCCAGGGTAGTTGTAGATGAGAATCGGGATCGGGCTAGCATCCGCGACCTCACGGAAGTGCTGCAGAATGTGTTCGGTGGAGAGCAGGCCCCCGTAGTAGGCCGGCGGGAGGACAAGGGCGTAGTCGCCGCCAGAGGCGCCAGCCTCTTGGCAAAGCTGGATGGTTTCTCTTGTTGACTGCGCGCCGCAGCCGACCATCAGAGGCAGGTCGCTCTTGCCGGCGGAGTCGAGGGCCGCGCGGGTGGTCTGGTTGATGAGTTGTCTTTCGGCATGGTCGAGGTGGACAGCTTCGCCGTTGGAGCCGTGGGTGACGAGACCGGCGACGCCGGCCTTGGCGAGGCGGATCGCGTGGGACGTGGTCGTCTCTACGTCTACCGAGTCGTCTCCGCGGAAGAAGGCTACTGTTGGGACGTAGAGACCGGGCGTAAGAGCCGGTCTTGAGGCGTTGCCATTGCCATTGTGGGTGGAGTTGCCGTTGGCTGAAGGTGACATGATGGTATGATTCTGTGGATTTGTGGGACGAGGCGGGAGTTGATTTAGGAGAGCGCACTCAATAGTAGCGGGATGTTGGAGTTGATAATAGCGCGAATGGAGGCAATGTGTGGTTGTAAGCAGTGTTCCTGTGTAGAAACCAAAATTTCTCAGGAGGCAAGGAACTGATCAGAAAAGCTATGAATAATCATCCGAACACAGCCTTTTTGCCTCTCGGTGTAAGTCATGCGCACAAATAGTCAACCCCAAGTTGGAGGAAGTAGTACATGTAGCCACAGACCGACTCCAAGACCCCCACGCCGGCACCTCTGCGATGGGCCAGATGTCCCTAATCCGAAGCATTAGAGCTTCCACCTAGCCCCCACAGATCGGTGGAAACGAAAGATTCGGAGACCATCCCGCGCGTGCTTTTTCTAGTCCCCGACATTGCCTCACGGCTCCGACTTCCCAGCAGCCCGTGTTGGCAGGGAATCTCCCAAACTCCAAACAACCACCGTCTTTCTTTTCTTCTTACCCCATCATCCCCACTGTTTCTTCCCCACAGAGTCCGACACAAACAGATCATGTACCTGCACTCTTTTGGCCCACCCCGGACTCAGCGTGGTGCATTCATCAGGCGAGACGGTGACATCCGCTGTGGGAACGGCGTGGTTTCCCCCTCGCGCACGCGACTCGCTGAATTTGTCGCTGGTCTCACTGGAACACGGTCAACCTCTTTTCAGTGACGCGCAGTCTCCTGTATGTTCCCCGTGGGGGTGTTTCTCTTTCATCTTACTCTACAAGAGTAACAATACCAAAGAGGGAAAGAACTTCGTACAATTCGCTGTTCTTTCGCCTCCGCTAAACCCCTCGCGGTCTGGCGGTGGGATTTCCAGATTTCAGATTAGCAAACGGATCGGCGCCCGGCCGGCTATGTTCGGTAACAGGCAACCCACACCGTGCCCCGGCACCGGCTCCCTCTCGCGCGCAAGTCAGCTGAGACATGAGCTGGGAGTTGAGGGAAGCTGTCAAAGTTCCGGTTTCTCGGGCTTCCACGCCGCGGAAAAAAGGACCCGATTCTGCCCTTCTGCTGATCTGGACCGTCCAATCGGGGATTATTGTCATCGCTAGCGGTCGCTCCGTGATTCTCTCACCGTCGGATTGGATGAACTGTCCCCAGACCCCTAGCCTAAAGCCACCTTACACTAAGGCTGGCTGGATGACATGGCACGGATTCAAGGCCACCTAGACAGCAAAAGTGCCTGATTCCCCAGCAAGCGTCTCCTCTCGGTTCTCCTCTCGAGAAAAGTCCAGAACCGGTCTCAAAATCTGACCGTCCCGGCACATGAGTCTGAGCCAATCATCACCGCCTAGCTCGCCCGCTACGTCGGCGACATGACCAATAGAATTACGTAAGTTAGGGTCCGACGTGGTTTGCTTGAGCAGATGTTTATTATAAGTGGCTCGTGGCTTCGTACCGTCGAGATGTGGATCGTCAAGCTGTAGTGCATCACGAGGTTCGACTGTTTTCTCTTGGGGTCACTCGACCAGCTCCTGGGTCCGTTCTCTGTTCTAGTTCTCTTTTCGGGCGGGTTTGTGCGGGATCGCGACTCTTATTTGCTTGCCATGCCCCCTTGAGTCAGGGAGTAATGGGCGATGAAAGGGATATTGCGGACATCTCGCTGCAGCTGTTGGCAAAGGCCGGAGAGATTGCTGTGAAGGAACAAAACAGGATGCCTTCGACGGCACTGGCATCGCGGATTCGATCTGAAAATGGGTCATCGGTAAACCCTGAAGCCTCAGGGTCGGCTTCATCACAACAAACGCCACATATCGGAACAGCATCCGACCGCCGAAAGCATGTCTCGGGAGACAACTTGGCTAATGGCCAGACGGCATACGGAGCACGAGGTCGACAGAAAGACACGATTGAGACGGCATCCGGTGCGATTCGACCAGACTCGGCATCACAGGCGCACACAGTACCAACGGAAGTCATGAGGCAGCTTGGTTCGCTGCCGGTTCGGAGAGCTTGGAGGGGAAGATCGGGAGAAGCACCACCAGATGTGTCCAAAGCTCCCGTTGTAGAAGCCATCATGCTTCACGAGAGAGGGGAAATACAAGCTTCAGAACAGCAATGCCCCAAGTGTCAGAGGGGAGAAGGCGTGTCACCAGAATGCGTGAAGATTCCAAGCATTCATGGCGGAGCATGCAGCAACTGCCTGATAGCCCGGGCTCTCGCCCGTCCGGGATCGGCTGTCCGGTTGACCCGGAGTTATTCAGCGGAACGGCGGTCCATCTCCGCCACCATCTCACCGTCAATTCCTAAGGAAGATCTTATTGCCGTCTGGAACCTGATTGCAGGAGTTATGTCGACACAACCACAAGAGTGCCTGTTTGATGATGGCACAGAGCCTCCAGGGAAGAGAATCGAGGATGCAGCCCGCTTGGTTGCAAGGTCCGCAGACGAATGGGGACACAGCGTCAGGGAGGGAGGTTCGGAATCCAGCAAGTCGCCGAAAACACCAGCAGAGAGGCAGAGGCTTGTGAGGCAAGCAAATCGTATTCGAGAAACAGCTTTGCAGATTGCCAACTGCGCGCGGGATTGGGGCGACAAGTTGGAACGCAAAAGATCGACATCTCAGCTGCGAGGTTAGGAGTTTGGGCGGGAAAAAGGGTTTCATCACTTGGTCGGTCAGAAAGGCAGCAATCCAACGGCGAGTTTTGTGCTGCAGGAAATAATGTTCATTGCTATCGACGCAGTCAATTACCTTATGTACTCACTATGATGGGCTCAACAGTACCACCTATTTCTGTAGTCACACAATTGAATCAGGTCAAATGTAAAATGCAATTTGTGTGACCTTCAAGTTGATCTTTCCTATGATGTCACATATGGAATATAGGGTCCTCTACGTAATCTTCGACACATCAAGGGCCCGAGCAACAGGTTTCCCGAGATGCGCCCATCTGAGGCCTTCAATCAAGATGCGAAGGTCCAGTGCCGGCTTCCCCGCCTCCGCCGTGGAAGATGACCGAGAAGTGAGGGGAAACAAGGTGAGCTCCACGTCGGACACGACCCCGAGCCCTGATCGGCCGACTCATGCGTGTGACCCCCACGAAACTCCAACGAGCATGAACCCCAAGCTGTACCCCCAACCGACCACCCTTCCGATCGAAGAGGTGCTAAGGGTTCCCCAGAGTGCTTGGCCTTAGCTTAGCACCGAACATCGGGGGAGGGGCACGCTTGCTAGCACGAATGTGTCCGCTGACAACATTGAATCTATCGATTCTGAGCTACTTTTTCGAAGTAGTCGCGTACAAATACTCGGTGGAATGAGGGGAGCTTTACCGAAAGCACAATCGGCAGCAACAGTCACACTTTGTCACCTCACCTGGGCAATAGATTGAATCCCAATTGGACTTCTAGTTGGAGAATCCCAAGACGCATCGCCTACACCATCATGGCCACCGAGAAACAGACCGAGGTCCTGCTTTATGGACTGGGGGCGTAAGTCGTTTCCACATTGTTTTTTCCGATATATGTTCGGTTGCTGACAAGGCCTCTAAGTATCGGCTCATTCTATGCTTTCATCCTGAGCAGGGTGCCTGCTGTCAGATTAACGGTGGTGGCGAGGTCAAATTACGATGCCGTGAAAGCAAATGGAATTCTTCTGAAGAGCGAGAATCATGGACAGCACATAATACGCCCATACAAAGGTATGTGATACATGAATCTATTGAATCAGGTCAGGTCTGACGGCAAGTAGTTGTGAAGACTGCAGCCGAGGCAGATGCAAAGTTCGACTATATCGTCTGTGCCCACAAAGCCATCACCCAAGATGCAGTCCCTGCTCAAATAGCGCCAGCGGTGGACGAGAAGAGGTCAACAATAGTCATTATCCAAAACGGGGTTGGCAATGAGGTGCCATTCCGCAGCGCGTTCCCCCACGCGACAATCATCTCATGTGTGGTATGTCCCCAGAACCCGGTCCTCTCCCGGCTGCCTGGAAACTGACGAGACTAGACCTGGACTGGCGCCTCTCAGCCGCAGCCCGGCAACATCATCCACACCAAGTCAGAGGACATGCAAATAGGACTATACCCTAATGATGCAGACCAAAGTGTGGAGAAGCAACGCCTAGACGAGTTCGCGTCTTTCCTGACAGAGGGCAAGACTGTCTTCCAGGTGGTCCCCAACATCCAGGTCCAGCGCTGGGAGAAGGTAGTGTGGAATGCCGCGTGGAACTCTCTCACGACCCTGACGCTTCTCGATACCCACTCTTGGCTCAGCTCGTCGGACGGCGCTACGCCCTTGACACGACGTCTGATGACCGAGGTCATTGACGTCGCCAAGGGGTGCAACGTCCCCATCGACTATGACCTGATTGACAAGCTCATCAACAAGATCTTGGCAATGCATCCAATCGGCAGCAGTATGCAGGCCGACTACAAGGCCGGAAGACCCATGGAGGTGGATATCATCCTCGGCTACCCGTACAGGAAGGGCAAAGAGCTGGGCATTTCGACGCCGACGCTGGATACAATCTACATCATCTTGACGGGTACAAATCTCCGTCTGCTCAGAGAGAATGGGCAGGCTTAGATAGCTCTATCAAACCTTAATGTTCACAATGGCTCGATGAACCCAACACTCGGCCGGCCGGAATTCCCGTAGTGATCCGATTCTCATGTGACGCAAACGGTGTCCTCAGCCTCTAAGTGGGGGGGAAATCTCGCGTTTTTAGACAAAGCCGAGGATCTTCAGGCAGGGTCGTACTGATTCAGTCTCAGATTGCCAAGCAAACCACCAGTTGGACCGACTCACCGCGCGCGGAATACGCGCCCTCCCAACCCCACAACCCGGTGCCAACGTGGTCGCGGTTTGAGGGGAAAGGGCCGCCTCCCCCATTTCTCCTTTCTTTTCCCCATGCTGAAGCCTGACTAGCGTCGCAAACAGAGAGGGGAACGCCATCCCCCCATGGGGGAAAACCTCCACCACGAAGACAATTATTGGACATTTTTGACATGGGGGTTAGCGCTGAGTCCAATGAGCGCATTCCTTATGACGACCTGGCTCGAGCGTATGGCCGAGAGTCCGGCCGGATAGATCACCGCGCTGCCAAAAACAGGGCATAGCTACTCCGCCGTATAAGAAGCTTTATTATCGTCGCCCACGAGAAGAGCGTGGTGTTGAGAAGTCCAGGGAACTCCTTTGCTCTCCACGACTGCAAGAAGACATCCTTCCTCCCCAGAAACATGGACACTGTCACGAAGACCGGAGACACAGCGTCTCAGCACCAGACTGAAGATGTTGAGCAATTGAAGCATCACAGCCAAGCCCCCACCAAGGGCGCCGACCGAGCGGCAAACATGATCGGAGACCAGCAAGTCGAGGTTACAGAGGAAGATGTAAGTTTCCAAATCTTCCGCGGGTGATATTTGCAGAATGCTGATATGCTTTGAACACAGAACAAGCGCATCCGCCGAAAGACCGATAAGCGAATCCTTTCCATCCTCATCTGGGTCTACTTCCTCCAGATTCTCGATAAGTCAGTTCTTGGGTATGGCGCCATCTTCGGCCTCCGGACAGACTGCAACCTCACTGGCGATCAATACTCGATGGTCAGCTCCATCTCTGCCATTGCCCAGCTCGCATGGCAGCCGTTCTCCTCGTGGCTTATTGTGAAGGTTCCTCACCGCATCCTCATGCCCTCTCTCGTCTTTGGATGGGGTGTTGCTCAGTGCTGCATGGCCGCCTGTCACAACTACCAAGGGCTTCTGGCAACTCGATTCCTTTTGGGCCTCTTCGAGGCTGGCTGCTTGCCCTTGTTCTCCGTCATCACATCCCAGTGGTACCGCCGCGCTGAGCAGCCTATGCGAGTCGCATGTTGGTACGGTACCAACGGTCTGGCAACCATGTTTGCCGCTGCCGTTTCCTACGGCCTGGGCCAGATCAATGGCTCGATCCACTCGTGGCAGATCCTCTTCATCTTCGTCGGTCTCATGACCGTCCTCTCGTCTCCAGTTGTCTACTTCCTCCTCGACAACGACATTCCCTCTGCCCGGTTCCTCACTGAGCACGAGAAGCTCCAGGCTATTGAGCGTCTGCGTGCCAACCAGACCGGTACTGGTAGCCGCGACTTCAAGTGGAGCCACGTTTGGGAAGCTCTCATTGAGCCCAAGAGCTACCTCTTCGTCGGTATGGCCATCTGCCTCAACGTCACTGCCGCCGTCACGAACACCTTCGGCCCCATTGTCCTTGCCGGCTTTGGCTTTTCCAGCTCCAAGACGTCTCTTCTGAACATTCCCTTCGGAGCTGTCCAGCTTCTCGTCATCTTCCCTGCCTCTTGGCTGGCCCACCGTTACCGCATCAAGTCCGTCTTCCTCGCCGCACTCATGGCACCGGTCCTTGCAGGCGCTATCATGCTTTACATCCTGGACCGCAACAGCATCCCACCTTTGTTGGTCGCATACTACATGCTTGCCTTCCTCTTCGGCGGTAACCCTCTCATCGTCTCATGGATGATCTCCAACATCGCCGGTACCACGAAGAAGTCCGTCCTGTTGTCTCTGTACAATGCTGGGTCTTCTGCTGGCAACATCGTCGGTCCGCTCCTCTTCAACTCCAAGGATGCACCGCAGTACAGACCCGGTCTTACCAAGGTCATGGGAATTACTTGCGCGCTACTTGCTATCATCGGTCTGCAGGTGATTGTCCTGTTCATCTCAAACAAGATGCAAGAGCGCAAGAGAGTGGCGAACGGAAAGCCCAGGAAGATCAAGGACTTGAGTATGGAGCGCCACTACGTCGATGGCAGAGGGGAGGAGACTGAGGGTGTGCACTTGGGAGAGAACGCGTTCTTGGACTTGACTGACAGCCAGAACGACGAGTTTGTCTATGTTTACTAAGTACGTTGACTATATGTCGCGTATAATGATACCATGATCAGTTATGAATCAATTCAATATTTGAGAAGCCTAACTCTCAAGACCCTAAGTAATTGAACTACCATTCGCGATCGAGACGCTCTGCGACATTGTTGACGTGCCAAACACCGCCCCTCCCAACGATCCAGAACTCGTGCTCACCGAAAGCCAAGCTGACAGCAAGGTTGTCACCTCCACCCACGCGGATCGTGCCAAGAGTTAGGCCGCTAATAGGGTCGATAACGTCCACCCCATCTCCAGCACCCGCGAAAATCCAACCATTCCTTGACACCCTGATGCCGTCGTAAAAGTACGAGATCGGATTATTGAGGAGGCGAGGGCTCGTTAGAACCCCACCAGTTGCAACATCATAAGCGAAAAGTGCCCTGTTGCCGTACGGATTCTTCTTGGACACAGGCTTGAACTCGGATACGCCTGTGTCAGGAAGATACAAAGTGTGGCGTCCGTCTTGGAGAGATGATACGGCGACACCGTTGGCGTTTCCTGTAGTAATATGAACAACCTTGGGTCTCATCGTGGTTCCGTTCACGAAGTAAACCGTAGGGCTTGTCGGCGGCGTATAATCCACGATATCTCGGCCCTTTATCTAGTCAGCCGCTTTCTCCATTGAACGAATTTGAGGTCATCTTACCCATCCAGACTTGGAATCTGTCAACCAGAAGTTACCTTCAGAGTCAATGTCAAGATCATTGAAACCCATGAATGGCTCCTGGTAGTAGTTGTTCAACAGCACTGTTTTTTCAAGAGTCTCGGGATTGATGCGGACAAGGGCCCCGGTTTCATTGTGAGACCCGTCAGTGACTACGTGGTACGCCCCACGGTAGTAGATGCAGCCATGCGCATTTACAGTTGGCGGGGTCGTGGTAATTTTCTTCAGCATATTGTTCCTGGTATCGAGCATATACTGCCAGGAGTGGGTACCATCGTCACCACCGGGAGGACCCCACTCGGCGAAGTACAATTCCTTGGTATCTTTGTTATAGCATGGCGCCTCGTGGGTCTGAAATGCTAACTGCTGTACCTGCTTGACGGTCGCCTGAGGTCCGAAGATGTCGAAGAACCTCTCATCATAAGCAATGAAGTTGGTCGTGTTGAGAAACTCATTTCTAGACGGTGTCAGAGGGTGATATAGACTGAACGCAAAAACGGTGACAACTTACGTCTTCTTCAAAGCTGGATTACTCGTCTCTCCCTTATGCGGAGCATCCATGGCCGAACGGTTGAATGAACCGGTCAGAACAGCCACGGAGGGGTTGCTGTAGGAAACATATGCCCATATCGCCGGCGTATCATTGAAAGTGGCTGGCAGATCTGCCAAGAATGAGCTTGCCACCAAAGGCAGGGCAGTAAGAATGGGAATCGTCGTCGACCACATGGCAGGAGTCTTGGCGTCTTGGCCTCCGTGGAATAAACTTGATGGACACGTTGACATGAGTCATTCGAATACTCTCGTCCTGAACCTTTTATATAAGTGGTAATGTCTCGATGCTCCGGTCGTGAAGACCTTTAAGTCCACGGAGTACTCCGGGGGTTCCCCGAACATCTTCTCTCACAAGCGTTGGATTACGGTACCGAACTAAACCAGAGCCATTTCGACGTGAGCCAAGTCCAATATCGAACGGGAATCGGCGCTCTTGAGCATCCACTAACTTGGCAGTCTGTATCAGAGAATCTTTGCTTTTACGTGTAAACGGCAATTGAGTTGCGGGGATTGTGGATGTGCGGAGATGATCCGCTGAACATGGTTTCGTTTGACCAATCTACGGCCTCCGGACTTGTGCGGGGGACGGAGCAGTCCGTGAAAAAAGTGAGCCGGGTCACTCCCTGAGAACGTTTTGAAGACGGAGAAACCCCGCGTACCTGGAATATAAGTTCGGGGCTTGTCATCCGCTGCGGTAGTCAACGGCTGCAATGGTCAGTGATGCGGCTGAGTTGGTCAAGTAATATTGATGATGAATGGCCTTTTTGGTATCTACACCAACTACAGCAACTTACATACAATTGCGGGGTTTAAGTAGCGTATAATGACTGCCAGATGTGACCGATGCCTCGAACTACTGTTTTGTTTGCAAATGTTCGATGGTCATATCCCAAAGGCGCTGTTCTGCCTCCTTGTCATACGCGTAAGACGCATACCCAAGTCGAGGGAACGAGGTATCATTCTCCTTCAATGGCTCCGCCTCTTGTACTTCAGCGAGATATCGGCCCCCCTTACTTTCCCATTGCTTTCCAACAGCAGCCCAAATTGTTGTGGCAGCACCTTGTTCTGGGCTTTTCCTATACTTCCTCATTTCAGGCTTCAGCATCACAGCGTCTCCTGAGGAATTGTGTCGGGCAGCTTCGGTGTGGATTGCTCCTGGGTGGACCGATGTCGCATGCAACCCCTCACTTCCATACCGTCTCTCGATCTCGTTGGCCATCCAGATGCATGCAGTCTTCGATGCTCCGTACGCAAGCATGGGATCGTACTCCCGCGTCATGAAGTTGATGTCCTCAAAGTTCACAGAGGACGCTTGATGCGATAAGGATGCAAGCATGACAACTCGTGAGGACATGGTCGGACTAGCTGACTTGATCAACGTCTCGCGCAGTGCCTGGAACAATGCGAAATGCGCCACATAGTTGACGCCAAAATGTTTCTCAAAGCCGTCTTTCGTAAGACCCTTGGGATGAAGCACAATTCCTATGCGGAGTCAGTCAAAGAGATCATAAAGTCAGGTCGGTAAGGCAAGGCGGGACGGCGTACCTGCGTTGCAAATGAGAATGTTCAATTTTTCCGACATGCTCAAAAATTGCTCAGCAGCAGCAGAAACGTCCTTTACGGAGTCCAAGGACATCTGCAGGAAAGCCACCTTGCCCGGCTTTCCATCACTGGCAAGACTCTCCGCAACTGCGACACCTTTCTTGGTATCGCGGCCGGTGATGTAAACATCGGCGCCTGTGGCGTGCATGGCACGGGCGGTTTCGATTCCTATCCCAGCCGTTCCGCCGGTGATGAGGCATACCCTCCCTTGCAGACCTCCGTCCAAGCCTTCATCACGGATGATTTTGAGCGCGTTGGGGCGGGCGTCGCCTGGGCCGTTGGTGTCTCGATGATCGTTCGCATAAGGTGCCGTTGAAGCCATATTGATGTGGGATTGAAGAGGCTGTCGAAAATGCAATTGGCCAACAGAAGTGAGAACGTTTGTTGTCTAGGCATTGGGGATCGGAGATGCTTTGGTTGCATTTTTATCATGCGGTGTAAAGGTCCTGCGATCCGCTCGCCGCCGGCAGCCTCTCCGTGAGCCCGAATCACGGGACCGCATCGTCGCGACAACGGGCCGACGGGCATGCGGATCTTTGACGGCCCACTAAGAACGGTGAAGAAGACTGTCTCTTACGGGATTTTGTATGTGGTGTAAAAGCAAACAACGCTGAATCGGCTCATGAATGGGGTTCAGTTCCTCCGGTTCGGAGTTCGCGGGTCACTCGGAACATGTTGACGGGTAACCGGAGAGCCCGACCCATCGCCACAGAGGAACTTTATGCATTGAAGCTTAGTAAACATATGCGCTTGAACACCGTATATGAGGACGCATCTCAAGATTGTGCTTCTTAACTTGATAAACATTGATGGTCGCTCATACTGATTCAACTACGAGATGCCGTTTATTCACATTGTCTTGATGAAATTCAAGTCTGATTGCAGCCCTGCTGAAATCGAGAATGTAAGATATTTGACTTCTAAATTGCTAAGCGCATGTTAATTCGCTGTGTCAGGCTCTGAAACGTAGTTGGAATCTACAGCATGAATGCGTGCATCCTAGTACGCAAAAGCCGTACATCCTCTCTATTGTGAGCGGGAAGAACTCGAGTATCGTACCGAACAAGGTGAGTGCTTGCAACGTGTTGTCGGCAGCTTTCTAGAGTCTAATAATTAGCAGTACGGCTTCACACACTCAACCAAGATTGAGTTTGAAAACGCGGACGACTGCGCTTACTTCATTAAGGAGGATCCTGCACACAAAGTGTTGTTCCCCATGTTCCACTCACTCACGGAGGAAATACTTGTCATGGATTACACACCTGGCTGCCTGGACGTCTGATTAGTCTGGTGAAATCGAATTTGCGTTAGCGTGTCTCTTCCCCACAAGGCCCTGAAATCTTCATGATGTGGACTGTTTGAATTTGATGTTGGTGTTGAGTATTCGAAGGCCATTGATTAGACGAAGTTGTTGAGGATTACAATTATCGCATAGGCTGAATGAGAGATTGCCTATGGTGTACCTACATAACTTGAAAGCAACAAAATAGTCGTTCGTGAGTGTAAGGGATGTCTGACCGAAAGGAAAGTCACAAGTGGCAAGTTCACAGTCAAGAATAATTTACATCATTGAAAGCCAACTGGAATACCTCAACTTATCAACCTAATCGGAGCTGCAGGCAGGCTGGTGGATGTTGGAAAAGAAGCCCGACACAAAAGAAGCCATGATCCGTGTTCAGGCAACGCAAACAACTAGTTTACTGCTTGACTCGATTTATCAATCATTTTGTTCCCGAGCTAAATGCAGCCAAGCCTCAGCCAATAGTAGGTGTCAGTGACGGCAGAGAATCTCGACGAATGGATGACGTAAACAACCCCTCAATCAACTCCACCGCTTATCGCGCTCGCCATCGCGAGGACCTCGCCACGAATGCGGAGTTAACTCAAGCTCCAGACCATGAAACTAACGCACATGCGCGCTTTGATTGACTGCGGGACTGTTGGATTATTCAGCAGAACCACATCAAAACCCGCCAGTCTCATCACATTTACTCATTGCTATCAGACACAAGCAACTCCGAATACAACGAACCCAAAACCCAATATGGCCCGCATTCTCATCACCGGCTCCTCCGACGGCCTTGGTGCCATTGCGGCCCAGAAACTCGTCAAAAACGGCCACCAAGTCGTTCTTCATGCCCGCAACGCCCAGCGCGCCGAAGATGCGAAATCGGCCGTGCCCGGGGCCGAGACCGTCCTCGTCGGCGACCTCACCAAGATCGCAGAGACCAAGAAATTGGCCGAGGACGCCAACAAGCTCGGCACTTTTGACGTGGTCATCCACAACGCCGGCCTCTACCGCGGCCCGTACCGCAAGACCGACCTCGGACTTTCGAGCCTCACAGCGGTCAACGTGATGGCGCCGTACCTCCTAACATGCCTCATGAACAAACCCAAGAGAATCATCTATGTATCATCGGGTATGCACCGCAGCGGCGACGCAACCTTCAAGGACCCGACGTGGGTTGAGCGAGGAGAGGCCGCTTGGGACCAGAACCAGGCTTACTGCGACTCCAAGCTGCACGTAAGCACGCTGGCGAATGCTGTCGCGCGTCTATGGCCGGACGTGAAGAGTAACTCTCTTGATCCTGGCTGGGTGGCTACCAAGATGGGCGGACAGAGCGCTCCGGGTAGCGCTGATGATGGCACGGCTACATATGTCATGCTTGCAGAGGGAACCAATGGTGGGGACGTGAGTGGAAAGTACTTCAAGCCTGGGAAGAAGGAAGACGTCGCGGAGGAGTTCACCAGGGATATCAAGAGACAGGACCAGTTGCTGGAGCTCTGGGGAAATCTCACGGGAGTGAAACTGCCTGTCTCTTAAATTGTTTCATGATCAGCAGTGGAAACCAAATTCAAAAGTTGCAATATTCTGATCAACTAGTACTTGTCTAAATGCCATTTCTCACTAGTGTATCCATGTTGAGCGGCTCATCGATACCTAGAGCTTAGCCCAAGCCTGGATATTTCTGTAAAAACGTCGGAGCGTTTGAAAGACACAACTCTTTCCAGCCTTGCGCAACACCACTCGAACGAGTTGAGCAACAGGGTCGGGTCGGGTCTAAGTTCATGTTTTTCTGTGTCCATACTGTCTGCGGAGCCGTTGTGGTCGAAATGCGATCAACATCATTTACTGGCGAGAAGCCTAGTGTCTGAGCAGGAGTCAGGGATGCCCTAAAAAGAGTTGAAGACTGGTAGGCCCCACATACCGTATTGCATTCCGTTCTGAAGCGCGGCCTCAACCCAATGCTGGAGAAGGTGGCATGGTCTTAGGAACCCCAACATCAGGTACCTCCACATTCCCATGTTTAGGGTTAGTCAGATGCTGGTCTTTTGTGTTACCGCAATAAGCTATGCCATATCTGTTTTCCGTTGCAACCCGCCAGGCCTCTCTTACGACCATGTGGTGGCAACCCTGTGCATTAAACATAATATCGAGGTTGCCAATGCCACCGTATCCGCATTTGAAATTTGCCTTGTCTTTCTTGTATCCGCATTTGGCCCTCCGGAGGTGGTCATCAACTGTTTTGCACACTTTCTTCATCTTTTCCAGAGGTACTCGGTTTGCGATAATCCTGTAAATCTTGTCTCTTCCGTAGCGGCAGGAAGTGTATGGCTCGACGCGGAGGGATTTGAGATGTGTTTCGGGACTCTTCTTGGGGCTGTTCGATGTGAACTTATTCTGAGGCGTGAGGGAAGCGGATGTTGTTTCGGCCGCGACGAGAACGACTAGCACTAGTGCTAAAACACAGACGGCGAGGAATCTCATGATTACTAGTTCCGCGAAAGCGGTGGATGAAATCAGTGGACGAAGATGGTGGTTGGAGGTAGTGGTTGAAGGTGATGGTACCAGATGGTAAACATTCCAGATGGCTGTGGGTTGTGGCAGTCAGTGCATTTAAATATGTCAGGATCGAGGTAAGTCCTTCTTCCCTTTTGACTTTCTCATTGAGATGCAAAGCCCCATGGGCAATACGGGTATGCGACCTTTGCAACCTTGGGAACTAGAAGCGTTGACTGCCATATTTTAACTTTTAAGGGCATAATGGTCCCTTGTCAAATCACAATGGTCATTACCGCAGTCTTCTTACGAGTTCATTTCCGGTCGATAGTATTTTTGTGTTCAGCCAACTCTCGTACGAGAAAACTTCTCATCGAAACTTGGCCCAGATAACCGTTTAAGACCTATCGTAACTTTCTTGCAAGCGGCCTTATACTTTCATGCAATGCGCCAGGCTGTGCAATGAATGGTGGTTCGGTATGCCTCCTTGCCATAGCCCAAATTTAAAGCCCGCTTCTGCTTGGCCAGGCGGCTCAAAAATCCCCTTCATATACCCCGGTTAGCCATAGAGATCACGCTGTGACCCTCCACATGTTTCCCCGTCAGAGTCATACGGCAGTCAACAAGGTGCGCCTCCAGGCGGCAAACTGCGGAAGAAAGGTTAGAAGGGAAGAAGCATGCCTCCTTGCAAGCGCGGCAGGGGGAGCAACGAAATATTAACGCCCAAACTATACAGCAGCTGTTTGAGGCGGCAGCTAACTTTCACGAGGTCTGTCACCGTCTTTCCATCACCCGTGAATCGTATCGACCTCCTTCACATTTCAGAACGGAGCACGTCTGGTACTGTCGCTGTCCGTCGTCATATCATCAAGACATGAGGGCAGGGGCTTTCTACCCATAGCGGCCAGAGCTTTAGTGAGCCGAGCTTACGAATCCATAGTACTGATGCGTCCAGTTAGGTAGGAACACCGAGATAGATCCACCGGCCAGCAGGATGTCTCCATTTGACCCGCGGCCTCCAATCCGAAATTGGTGCCGGCAATGTGGAGGGACCCCGAACCCTCTTAACGTTCGATTTTGGAGTTTCTAGAATATAGAGCCGTTCATAGTCTCGTGATCTACTTGTCGAAATGATGGCATCGAAAATGCAAGGTTGGGACGGACAATGCGCCGCTAAATGATCACTAATATCAGTCGCTCAGACACAATGGAAGAAGTACGGCAGTCAACAAGGTGCGCCTCCAGGCGGCAAACTGCGGAAGAAAAGTTAGAAGGAAGAAGCTTGCAGGACCGTCGATAGGCGAAAGGCGAAGCCTTTGACCGAGCCGTTAGTGAGCACACCGGTCCCTGGCCGCAGGTGGAGAGGGCAACGCCAAGCGAAGATAAGCTCTGTGGCGGGCCAATTGCCGCTGGGGTTCTCCAAACATGTCCCACGGGGGCACCTTTAGCGCTGGGGCTTTTGGAGAATCGTTTGAATTCTCAGTGTGGATGTCGGTGGCTGCCGGGTCGCCTCCCAGGTTGCCCTGCATCGGTTTCCATAGCCGTCTTGGCTGTTGACGTGATGGCACGCCCTCGACGGGGCCACAACGGTGACAGGGCGCACAGTCTTTTGGGGCTCATCCGAGTTCGATGTGTATTGTGTCGTGTTCGTCTCATTTGGCACCGGATGGGGAAGAAGCTTGGGCAGGGCGCTCGGTTGGGGAAGTTGACAGGAAAGTTAGGGGAAATAGACGGCGACACTTCGGTGCAACCGACATGAAAGCATCTCAGAGAGTTCTGTTTCAATGGGAGAGTGATTAACTAAAGAAAGTGACGGTTGGTACCGGCCGAGTACATCTGCCTACTACTTTCTTTGCGTATGCGACACGTCAATTCCGCGCTATCTCCATGGTCTCTCCAAAATCCCCAGGCCACCTGGGCGACGGCGCACCCCCGGCATGGATTCGACCCTCGTCGGCCCTATCTAGCAGCCTGCCAGCCTGCATCATTATTTGTGTCCTTTGACTCATGGATAGCCCCGCTCACGTTGGTGCTCACGGAGAACAGGCCGTCGGTTCACCCTGGGATATAAGATTCTCTGCCTACCCACGCAACCTTGGTGGTTCATCCTCCTCCCCACGGCCATCACGACGTACAAGTACATTATGGAGAACCACGACAAGAGCCACGTCGACCCCGAGCATAGCCATCATGCCGAGCACCATGAGGACCAGACGCCATGGCACGGCATGTCTGTCGGTCGCTACCTCGGTACCCGCTTCAGCACCTTGAAGCCGCCGATGCTCAGCGCGCCGAACCCGTTGAAGCTGGTTGTGATGATCAACCGCCGCCAGTGGGCGTTCTTCGCCGTCGCGTTTGCGGCCTGGGTATGTGCCAGCCACGCATGGTTCGCGTTGTAATTTGGGGACCGCTGCTGACAAGTTCCCCAAAGACATGGGACGCTTTCGACTTCTTCACCGTATCTCTCACCGTCACCGAGCTTTCAGAAACCTTCGACAAGTCCAAGACCGACATCACCTGGGGGATCACCCTGGTTCTCATGTTCCGATCCGTCGGGTCTATCCTCTTTGGCATCGCGGCAGACAGATACGGCCGCAAATGGCCCTTCATCGTGAACAACATCCTGTTCATCATCCTCGAACTGGTAAGCAAAAAAATAATCACTCACCTGTTCCACCTCCCGGTGTCGTGATTGGTCCCCGACGGCAAGTTTGTGCCGAGCCCGGCTGCAGCAGACAAGCTTTCCCCTCCCCTCTCGCCCGTCTTGGCTGCGCCGTTGGGGAATCCCTGTGTTCCCCCACAATCCAGCTGTCCCCCGCCCAACCCCCAACTCCCTTGTACCCAACTAGTTCTCTGCTAGTGACATCAGTGGCATCGCACTAGTGACACGAACACTTGCTTTCTGATCGTTGGTGCGCTGACATGAGTTGTTCCTTTGTTCTAGGGAACGGGCTTCTGCCAAACGTATGAACAGTTCCTAGCATGTCGCGCTCTCTTTGGCGTCGCAATGGGCGGTCTGTACGGCAACGCCGCCGCGACGGCGCTGGAAGACCTCCCCTCAGAGACGCGCGGAATGATGTCCGGCGTCTTACAACAAGGTGTAAGTTTGAAACGGAGCCAACGAACTCCTCCACACCACCAGACCTGCCCCAACTCCATCTGCCCAACAGCAACGGACGTCACGAGACTAACCTTTTCGCCGATCAGTACGCCTTCGGATACCTTTTGGCTGCGGCCTTTGCCCGAGGGCTGGTCAACACCACCCCACACGGCTGGCGGCCCCTCTTCTGGTTCGGCGCCTGCCCGCCGGTCCTTTTCATCATTTTCCGTCTCATGCTGCCCGAGACGGACACATTCCTCGAGCACAAGCGTCTGCGCGAGGCGGCTGGCAGGCACGCCGCGGAGTCTGAGACAGAAAAGTCTAATGTCACCTCGACGTTCATCAAGGAAGGAAAGGTCGCGCTGAAGCGGCACTGGCTGCTGCTGACCTACCTTGTCCTCCTCATGGCCGGGTTCAACTTCATGTCTCACGGAAGCCAGGACTTGTACCCCACCATGCTTACGAACCAGTTCAACTTTAACGCCGACCAGGTCACTGTCACTCAGGTAGTCGCCAACCTTGGCGCGATGCTGGGCGGCACGACCGTCGGGTACTGCAGTCAGATCTTTGGCAGAAGGTTCAGCATCGTCGTCTGCTGCATTGTTGGTGGCGCGCTGCTGTACCCGTACACTTTTGTCACGACGGAGGCCGTTATGGCGGCGGCGTTTTTCGAGCAATTTTGCGTGCAGGGCGCGTGGGGTGTGATTCCCATCCACTTGATGGAGCTCAGTCCCGGGGCTTTCCGCACCTTTGTGGTCGGCACATCGTACCAGCTCGGTAACCTCGTGTCGTCGGCGAGTTCCACCATCGAGGCGCGTCTAGGAGAGAAGTTCCCCCTCCCCAACAAGGGCACCACAAAGCGCTACAACTATGGCAAGGTTATCTGCATCTTCATGGGATGCGTGTTCGTGTATGTCATTTTGTTGACGTTCATTGGGCCCGAGCACCTGCGACGCAGTTTCGATGTCGCTGATGACTCGGATATGCGGGAGGTTGCTGGCGTTGAGACGATGGAAGACGAGCTCCATGACCGTGAAGTGAGAGCTGGACGGCCGGTGGGTAGCGACGAAGAGATGGGGCACCAGGAGAAGTCGGCTACTCACCGCGAGTGAGTTCAGTCAGACTCAAAACAGCCGAAGAACCAGTGATTTGGAACCGCCGATGATTCTCGTGCTGTGCGCCTGGATGTAACGGAACAGACTGGTTGCGGAATCGATTACAGACATCAAGAACAGCCAGTAGAAATCAAGAGTCAATTAAACCATCTGATATTTCGATTGTGAGTGACAGCTGCAATCGGGCCGTTGAATTGAGTTATGTCGCGCAGCGAAAGCTTGGTTCCGACCGGAATTGCTTAACTTAACAAATGCGGCATCCGATCTGTTCCGTGAGATCCGCTCGGCGGGCGGAGATCGCGCCTATCTTCCGCCGCCTGCCTCCCCGCTTCGGAGTCCGCTCAGCCGGAGCGGGCCCTCCGGAGCCAATTCGCTAACATTTCTTTAGTATGATTCCCCGCGACACCTTCCCAAAGTTCCAATCGGGATCTATCAAATGAAGCATGACAAGCTTTTATGGCATGATAAGTGTACGGTGATGCTGTCAAAATAAGCCAAGACTCCTCGCGAGCCGACAGCCGACGAGTTGCCTTTACTCTCGGAACAGCAATCGGCCGATGCATCCGGTCCATTATCCGGCCCATGGCTCGGCCAAGACGCCATGAACGGCTTTGATCACGCGCGCACATTGAACACGAGGTGATGAGTGAAATAAGCATGCAGACACCTGCAGGTCTCCGCGGATACTTATCTATGATTTGGCCCAGGGCTGCATTCTGGACGTTGACCGATAAGGGGTCCTGCAGGTACTCTGCCACCCCTGGCGCTTGTAATTGCGTCTCTCGACGGGGGATGATGCCATTTCGCGCCATAGGCGACAAGTTGGTTCACCGACCGGGTCATACTTCTTCCTTATCGCTCAGCGCGTTGCGTTCATCCCAACACGAGAATTGGCCATGCATCTTGCTCTCAATAGCCAGGGGTGCAGTCTTGGCAGCGTCTCTTGGGTTGCATCAGGAACCGCAAGTCAGTTAGACGCCCTTCTTACCCCTCAATTCCTGCTGTGAGCTCAGGAGAAGCTGCTCTCGTTGCTGTCATTGAGGGTTGATCGACGTCTAACTGCTGTTTGGGTAGCACTGAAGATTCACGATGTCTTTTGGGATACGAGACACAATCCAGGCGAGGATTTCCCTATCAATCCAAGAAACGCAGTACAACTCGCCCCAAGAGAGTCAAACGCGACGTAGATGGTGGTCTCACTCTTCACAAATTCTCCTCATCCGACCTTGCAGCACATGGCAGGGGTGCAAATCGTCCCAAGTAGGAAGCTCATTTCCATCACGATGGCGATATCACCATAGACCTCCAAGGGGATGCTCCCGTATCGGCAATGCAACGCTGCAATGACCAAATGCAGCTCAAATCATGTTTCTGCAGTAAACAATACCTTAGATGCCATCAAACAGCATTTAAATAGCCATCCCACCGGCAGTATCATTTTGAACTCGAACCTCAAGCTTCAGGCGCCCCACGATCTTGGCCGAACTACACCAAGATGCATCTCCTTAGCATCGCCAGCTTGCTTGCGCTTCCTGCGCTGGGAAGCGCGGATGTCCTCTCTGCCCGTCAAGCTCCCGAGGGACAGACCAGCAACTCCACGGTCCCGGTCGCCAAGAGCTTCATCATCGAATACACCCAGGTTCGTGTCTTCATCGCTCGCTGTTGAAACAGGCGATTTGCTAATCCCACATCGCAGGGCTTCGCAAAGGCTCGTCGCGACGTCGCCCTCGCAGAAGACATCAAGATCGTCAAGGATTTCGAGACTGACATCTTCAACGGCGCCAGCATCGAGACGGACACACACAATATTGATACTTTGCAGAACCTCGCCGGTGTCGCGCGCGTGTGGCACAACACCCGCGTCACTATGTCTCCTGTCGAAGGGCTGCAAGCCATCGATGATGCAGCTGCTTCGAACTACACTACTCACAACGCGACGGGGGTGAGCAAACTCCACGACAAGGGCATCTTCGGTCAAGGTGTCAAGGTTGGCGTTGTTGACTCTGGCACTTGGTACAATCATCCTGCGGTACGTGTTGCATTTCTGGGGGACAACGGTTCGTATTTGCTGACCTGCATCTAGCTTGGCGGCGGATTTGGCGAAGGTTTTAAGGTCGCTGGTGGCTATGACTTTGTTGGCAACGGCATCTGGCCTTACGAGGACAAGGCTCCCGACGATGACCCAGAGGATCAGATGGGTCACGGTACGTCATTATCAACCGTTAAAGGAGATACATGTCTGACACGAGTGCAGGAACCCATGTTAGCGGTATCATTGCTGGAAAGACAGATTTGTACGGCTGTCACAAACCATCCTTGCCAATCTTCTCTCACTAACCTTCTTGCAGCTGGACTGGAGTTGCACCCGAGGCTACTCTGTACTCCTACAAGGTCTTCGCTCAAATCGTAGGTATCATGAAACAAGGAAACCCCCTGCATATCTAACGATTTGCAGGACGCCACAGATGATGCGACTCTGATTGAGGCCTTCTTGAGGGCTTACATGGATGGAGTAAGTAGTTCGAAGTTGATCTGACGTCTGCCATAATGCTAACAAAGCCCTCAGGTCGATATTATCACAGCTAGTATCGGTGGCCCCAGCGGATGGTCAACCAATGCTTGGGCTGAGGTTGCATCTCGCATCGTCGAGGAAGGCGTCGTTGTAACAATCGCCAACGGCAACTCTGGCGCCGCTGGACCATTCTTCGCTAGTAGCGGATCCTCAGGAGAGAATGTTCTTGCTGTTGCTTCCGTCGAGACAGAGACATTCCCTGCTTCGCCATTCGAGCTCACCTCTGTTCTTGATGGCAAGACGGAGACAGTCAAGGTCAGGTCCCTGGTATCACCCAAAAAGCCCTTCTCCTAACAAGCTGCAGGCCGGATACCTTCCTTCCACATACTATTTCTCATCTGACATCACCGACTGGCCGGTCGTTCCTTTGAACTTTGACACTACCGACCCTGCCGATGCTTGCCAGCCTTACGCCAACGGCACTCGTAGCTTGAAGGGCGTTATTCCTTTGGTGCGCCGCGGCACTTGTACCTTCGCTACGAAACAGGCAAACCTGGTTGCCCTGGGCGCGGAGTACATCCTCTTCTACAACAACGAGGGCCCGCTAATCACCCCGTACACCGACGATGAGAACGGACTGATTGCATTGATTACCGCTGAAGCGGGCGCCGCCATCATTGACACCGTCAAGGCGGGTGGTAATGTCACGGCTGACTTCTCTATCAACCCCGAGCAGGTAGTTGGCCTGGATTACCCTGCTGGCGGTCGACCGAACACCTTCACCTCATGGGGAGGAACATATGATCTCCAGATCAAGCCTGACATTGCAGCTCCCGGTGGTCAGGTAAGTAAACTCGATTGTCACAACTACTGGTCGTTGCGTGATACTGACAAGTACGCAGATCTTCAGCACCTACCTGGACAACACCTACGCTCTACTATCCGGAACCTCTATGGCCACCCCCTACGTTGCCGGAGTTGCAGCACTCTATATTAGTGCCAATGGCGGACGATCTGTGCATGGTAAGTTACTGAATGCATCCCAGATCCAACTTGAGACAGATGAACGCGTGCACTAACATCCTTTGCTCAGGCAAGGGCTTCGCCAAGGCGCTGCACCAGCGCATCATCGCCAGCGGCACATCTCTCCCCTGGTCCGATGGCACCGCCACTGACTACGGCTTCTCCGCACCCGTCGCGCAGGTCGGCAACGGGCTGATAAATGCCTTCAAGGTTGTCAGCTACGCTACCGATCTCACCTTTGAGAAGATTGCTCTCAACGACACTCACTTCTTCAGCCGCTACCACGACGTTACCGTCACCAACAACGGCGACAAGGATATCAGCTACAAATTCTCGTACGAAAATGCTGCTGGCGTGGAGATGCTCGGATGGTACCCATTCGTCGAGCCTTGGGCTGGAGAGAAAAGAATCAAGAGCTTCTCCGAGTTGGCTCCTACCAGTCTTCCGGTTGAGGTCTCGGTTCCGAGAGACTTTACGCTGAAGCCGGGTGAAAGCAAGACTGTCTCGTGAGTTTAGAAGCACTGCTGTAATTGACGGCAATCGACTGACATGACAAGGGTCAACTTCCCCAACCCCGACACTTTGGGTTGGAACTCGTCCGCTTTGCCTCTTTACAGTGGCAAGATCATTGTCTCTGGCAACAATGGAGAGCAATTGTCCGTGCCTTACATGGGTAAGCAAGCTCTATGAGTTGAACGCACTTTGTGACCGTTAGTTCTAACAGCGTCTGCAGGACTTGGCGCCAACTTGAAAGCTGAGATCAGCCCTATTTACCGTCCCAGCTACCCATTCACCACACAGCGTGACTAGTAAGAACAGTCCCATATCCGTCTTAATATCAATCATGTCTAACATTATGAAGTGTGTATTCCTTCAACCTGGACAGATTCGCCGCCGACTTTCCAATCATCTACTCCAAGCTGATTTGGGGCACCAAGGAAGTCCGATGGGACGTAAGTTAATACATGGATCGACGCCCGACTGCCACTATGGCTGACTCATGTGCGTAGATCTACGAGCCTGGTTGGACTGAGCGACAGTGGGAATACCCTCCCGTCCCCGGCAAGAATGGCTACATCGGCCCGGCCACCAGCCACGTTGTGGCCGGCAGCGTCTCCTACTTTGACCCCGATGTCTACGATCCCGATGACACCTGGACCTACCCTGAAGTCGATCTCTACCGCAACGCTCAGACACAGGCTTCTTATCACGAGTTCTGGTGGTTCGGCAAGTTGGGCAACGGAAGTCAGATTGAACTTGGGAACTACACGTAAGTGGCTTTCTAAAGTTGAAGTAGTTCGGCACCGTGCTAATACTAGTCACTCCAGCATGCGATTTGCCACTCTCAAGCCTTTTGGTAACCCCCAGGCATCTGACAACTGGGACATCTTCCAGACGCCCCAGATTCAGGTCACCGGCAAATATGAGAGAAGAAACTGAGCTCTACCATTGTGTGAGCTGG